GAGGACTGCATGTTAAAGGTCTATTCTTTAGACTCTTTCCTTTCCAGCAAGTCAACAAAAACAATGCATTTGAAATTTAAGATCACAAGTTTGTGTGTTTTGCGACGCATGTTAAGATCATTTGTTTGCATATCTTGAGTCTCGAACAATATAAAAAATACAAATTGTTAAGGGGAACAATCTACTTAATTTCTTCTTATCATATGAATTGAGATATACATTATTTGTATATGCATTTGTATATGAGATAAGTGGCTCGGGGTTTGTTATTATTACATAATAATTATAAACACTGTCCCATTCCAATCTGATTTCAGTGACAGCCATCAATTCGAATGTCCCATTCGTTTTAATTTCCCTTGTTGCACACTAAAAACATGGCCGACCTTTTTCCGCCACTCTCATTGCATATGTAAAACGAAATTAATATTCTGAGTCATGCACCTCACCCTCCTCCACCTGCCTAATTATTTATTTAAATTGAGTTTTGTCAGCCACGGAAACTTTCCTGGTCGAGTGTGGTTCATTACGCTCAGATTGTCACAATTCGGCTTTCCGAGGCACACGGCTTGGTCGTGAATGCAGTTAATTAGCTGCGACCTGTGCAGAACAGGTTCCGGGGAAAGTCGTACTTGAAAGCAGGATGCATTGGGAAATCAAGGCTGATGTCCCCCGCTTGGCTCAGATTATGTGTGCCATCATGGGTAGAGGTTTACGCCGATGGTTAAAGGCATCGGCGGCGGCGTAGAGGTCAAAATGACTCGGCGGCGGCGGCGTAGTAGTCAGAAAGAACCGGCGGCGGCGGCGCGTCAAATAAGGCAAAAAGGCCATTTTAATGAGTTATTTTTTTTTTTTTAAGTTTTATAAAGAACAATGACACTGAAGGCCGCGCTGAAGCTGCGCCGATGCCGCACCAGCGGCGCGCCGCGGCGCGCCGTTATTTTCATAATTTGGCGGCGGCGCGTCAAATAAGGCAAAAATCGGCGGCGGCGGCGGCGTGGCGCGGCGGCGTATATGTCTAATCATGGGGTAGGTGATGCCAGGCGATCCAATTTCAGTTTTATTGCCTCGGCGATTGCAACACTTTGTCTCTGTCATGCCCGGCGGCGAAAAAGGGTGCGGAAGGGTAGATAGGGGGTCGTGGGATAGCCATGCTGGATGGCCAGATAGCCAGTGGCCAGCTCAGAATAGTTGCTGGTATTTGTTGTGAGTTTGTTTAGGAGCCGGTCCAATGTTTGCCTCGAGCAATGACATCTTTGAAGCTTATGAAATCAACCAACCAACCAAACATCTTTTCTGAGGCCTGGCTCGAGTTCCTATACATGTTAATAAAGCATTTTATGGCAGCACGTGTCCTCCGGATAGAAAGTTTTGCTTGGTCGGCTTCTGGCTCCTGACCCATCTCCACGATTTTTGCCGCCTGTCCTTTGACATTTCCGCAGACAAAGCGGCGCTATTTTCTCGGCTCGGCTTCCCTATCCTCTCAAAAGTGGCAATCATGACTACGCACATCCCGTTTTAGCTATGCTGCTGTTTTTGGGAGTGAAGGAACACCCCTTGAATTTATTTAAAACTGCCTGTCTGGCAGAAAATGAAACACATATTATCGCTTGCCTTTACATACAGCAGCTATCGGTTATTAAAAACCTCAGCTTAAATAAAATTGAGAAAATTCTGGGAATGTTGATATTAATATTTCTATTAAAAAAGTTGAATACCCTTGGTAAGATATAATAAATCAATGGCTTATATCTTACAAAATTAACAGTTTGAAAATATTTTAAGCGTGATAAATTACATGCGTGATATGAATACATTATCAATCATTTTTTCAGGATCAGAGATAAAATTTTTTATTATTAATATTTACACTTTTCACATTGATGTTTCATACATTTAATTAGCTCTTTACTTAAGTTGATTTACAAACTCAGGATCAGGACATAGAAAATTTTGATCTTTTGAATCCGAGAGAGGGATATCGGTATAGAGTCATAATTGCTGCATACAAATTTGAAACAATTTTGTTTAAATGGTGAGGGTTTTTTTCTTGATCGAATTAGTAAGGATAGCTAATCGATTTAATTTATATCTAATTATCTGGTATTCATCTTCTTCGGCCCTAAAGTTGTCAGGGACTTCAACGGTCAAAGCCGAAAGTTAATTACATGCGAATGGCGAGTTTCTACTTTCTGTGTCAAAATTTCACGTTCACATTCCTGGCTAAGATCATTTAGATTGCTATCGTGCCTAACAGCGCTCTGTTCATCTTACACGTTCGGATAAAGTACAGGGAAGGCAGGAAATCGATTTGCTTTATGATAACTTTATCTGTATAGAAACCAGGATTCCAATAATAGTGGTGATTTTGTAAGCAAGTTGACAGATACAATACATATAAATATATATTTGTGTAGGCTTCCTTGAGCTTGTACAGTTTGTGCCCAAAGACAAAACTCCACACAAAAAAGGACTCAATTTCGCAGTCGTTGAGCTCCGCTGTGTCTCCTTTTACCACGTACCCATATGTCGCTTCGCTCCACCACCATTGACTCACCGCGCCAAGTGATGGAGTCATAAAGCGTCACCAGCCCGGGACTATCCTGCCGTGGAAGGCGCGGCTTCTGGTGCCGCTTGCATGTATTTTATTGCTCATGTAGAATGTCTAAACGATATAATTGACTGCCAGCCGTAGGAGGCGGAACACGAAATGGGCTAGGGACAAGGACGAAGAGCCCTACAGCGGCTAATTTATATGCATACACTATACGTACTTGCCCTGCTTCGGACGACATTGAGAGGGGAAAAAAAGCCCGAATTATAAGCCGATTGATGGGAAATGATAGTGAAAAAGTATTCGGAAAAACTCGCCATTTGGGGAAAGCGCAAAGTGAAAAACTTGGCAGCGAAGGCAGGTCCCACCGGGCAAGAGTAGGCGAAAGCGAAAGAGAAAAGAGCGGGAAATGATTTAATTTGATTAAAGTTTTCCATACATTCGGCTCGCTAACTGTCTGCGCCACTTTTTTTGCTGCCGAGCTTAGAAAAAATCGCCTTGGCAAGTGGCCCGGAAATGCAGGAGTGCAGAGGGGCGATCGACCACAATGCGATTTCTGGAGTCGGTCATGAATTGAATGGAAAAATGTTTTTCAATCATGGCCCCCAAATATTTGACCACTGGCTAAACCAATACGCTTCCCCAGACACAGGGACGTCCTCCGCGCACAAGCCAGACGGTTCCAGCTTGCGATTTTCCAGCAAAGCTTTGCTAATCCCAATATGCACAGGGTCCGCCGTGCTGCAGATAGAAGAAAGCGTGGGTGGGAACGCGGTGGCATGCCGAGGCGAGCCCGGTGTCACTGGTGCTCTATTCAATCGAATGCTGGCAGTTGGCGCAGACTATTTATAGGCACTGTGATGCTGATTGGATGCACTTGAAGTCCATGTCGCCGCTGTCCAAAGGATGCCAAGCAGTCATTTGGGCTGATCAATTGCCTCCGATAGAATGTGGAGAGGATAAGGCGATGCATTGACTACTCCCATTTAGTAATTTTTGCCGGCCAGGAAGCGGGGTGTGGGCATCTATTACTTGGCCAAGACAAGCTGACTGGGAAATGACAGCTCTCCTGCTAGCGCGGCACACGTGCCTTATCTGCTCCTGCTCAAGTGTGTCAGTCAATTTAATGGCCGTGGCGCGACGACAACGTGCCGGGAATGAAATTACAACAAGGCAACACTCTCCTCAGTGCCTCAAAGCGAGACACTTATGCAAATGAGGCGGATTCCAAGTGAGCCCATGGGAGGGGGGCGGGGCTCGATGCCCACGTCTTGGCTTTGTGACGAGGCCTTTGCCTTTGTCCTGAACCATAATGGAGAGCGAGCCTAACCAACTGTTGCAAGGCCCCAGCTCGACTCTAGTCGGCTCCTCTGGCCTTGCCTACTTTTGGGGGCCAAACAAGCACACGCCAGGTGGTGGCCTCTGGCATTTCGGCCTAAAGCTAATCCAAATCCCAATACCAGGACATTCCCCGGCTAATTGTCTGTCTGTCCCACTAATGAGATGCAGCTGAGCCACGACAGAGTCAACGTCAAGGCCGGCTTACTTCCGCGACGGAGGTGGCGACAAAGACATCCATTATGTCTCGGCTGCGGCGAAGTGGCGGCCATGGCCGTGGCAACAACTTGCCTCTTGCACTTGCACTTTCACCAGGGGCCCACAACAAATGCAATTCGGTGTCTCGTCCCCTCACATTTCCATTTCCCTCTGGCCTTCGTATGAATTTCCGACCTGAACTTGTCAAATAAAAGGATTCTCTTCCTCTCCTTCTTCTCGTTGCAGCACTGCTTTCAGGCCGATTCGTTTGACAATTGAGTAACCGAGCCCAACCTTTAAATGAAGAAACATGGGGAATGGCATGAACAAGGTAAGAAACAGATTTATCAACAACTCAAAATCAACTTAACTGGCTTAAAAGTTTTCACTAGCAACTACTTCATAATTGTAGCTACATTATCTACAATGCATTTTATCATACATCCGCCTACAACTAATTAAATCTGATTACATTTTCGGTTTTATTTCATTCGATTAAGAAAAAGAGTTGAGTTAGACTACCTAATAGTTAATAGGAACTTGTAGGTCCGAAGAGAGTAGCTCTGTGGGTCAGACAGAGATCGCACATTCTTATATATCTCTCATCTAAAAATAAACCATTTAATGCATTTTCACGCTGACAAACACGAAACTATCGCAAAATATTCGTAAACAAACTTAAAAATAATGTAAATCCAAGAGCTTAGATACGAGCGTTTAGAGTACTTCCAGTGACTTTATTCCAACTCAAAATATTCAAAACTCCCATAAGTATAGTTGTGGATTGAAATACATTTAAAGGTTTGCATATTTTGGGGCTTTCCAATTGATTTAAATCCAATGCCAACCCCGAATAATGACAGTTTTGCCAGAGTTTCTTTACTCTGGTACCACCATTTCTGGTCCGATTGTTGTCACGGCAACTGAAACTAAATAACATGCAAGGCTAATACTTTCACGAGCCTATAAACAGCACTCAAAATCAAACTCAAGCGGTATCTGATCGCCCCAAAATGAACTGGCACATGGGCCAGGTAACCTCGGAGCCTGGAATGTTCGTTAAATATTACCCTGTCCCTTTCATTTCAGGTCTTGCCGGGACTATACGTGGGCAACTACCGCGACTCAAAGGATCACACACAACTGGAGAGGTTCAAGATCTCGCACATCATCGCCATACATGACAGTCCCCGACGTCTGCTGCCGGTAGATATGCCTCTTTGCTGTTTGCCCACCAAAATATTAACGAATTTTACACTCAATTCCTTACAGGACAAGCACTACCTGTGCGTGATGGCCTCGGACACCCCGGACCAGAATCTTTCCCAGTACTTCTCTGTCTGCAACGACTTCATTCATGCCGCCCGCCTGCGCGAGGGAAACGTGCTCATCCATTGCCTGGCGGGAATGTCCCGCTCAGTGACCGTGGCCGTCGCCTACATTATGACGGCCACGCACCTCAACTGGAAGGAGGCGCTAAAGGTGGTGCGGGCAGGTCGCGCTGTGGCCAATCCCAACACGGGATTTCAGAACCAGCTGCAGGAGTTTGAGCAATTCAAGCTGTCCGAAGAGCGTCGCCGGCTGCGGGAGCGCTTTCCATCCTCGGCCCTAGAGCAGCTTGACCGAACGAAGGTCGCCACAGCGCTGGATAACTACCAGGAGCTTCTGCAGAACCGTGACATCTGCGAGGGCAACTGCTCCCGCGGCGAGAAGTGTCCCACAGGTGCGCATATGGTGTTTGTCAGGAACGGGGAGGGAGAAGACGAGGGCAAGGAGGATCCATTGGGTTCGGTCAAGAGGAGCGTGGCGTACACGCTGAGCTTTGCGGCGGAGAAATGGAAGGACAATACCTTTAATTCGGCATCCAGAGATTTGCACGATCCGTTAAGCAGCAGTTCTGGGGAGGACTTGATGGCAAACGTGCGGTACTACGAGGGATCCAGTAAGAACAAGGGCCGGTTCGTCAATAATATTGATTCGGAAGAGATGTCGAGTGGCTTTTTTTGTAACCCCCCGCCTTCGCCGCGGAGTGCTCAGAGACTTAAGAAACGACGCCAACCGAAATCCAGCCCAAAGAAAGCATAATTACAGATAATAAAACTCCAATGAGACCCGCAAGCTTTTAAATCTTTCTCTTTGATTTGCTTTCTATGTTGCAGGCGTCTGCAACATGGACCCCAGCAAGGGCTTGTTCCGACGCCGTCCCTCCAGCGCATCGACCCACTCGCGTCTGCGTGCTCAGTCCTCCAACACCAACGCTTCATCCAGCAGCCTCAGCGTGAGCAGCTTGGCCGCCCAGTCCTGCCCGACATCTCCCAAGCACTCGCCCCTGCCAATGGCACGCCGCTCCGTGGGCAGTGATCGCATCCCCGAAGACGAGATTGCCCTTGACCAGCCACCCAGTACCTCTAGCGAGGCCGCCGAGTATGCCGCCGCCTTCGAGGACGCCCGCCGAGAGCAGGAGCAGCGCTGCCAGCAGCAGGGCAAGAACCAACGATCCCCGCGGCCTGGTGGCTCTGCGACCGGAAACCCTCGTGTGAGCAGCGCCGGGAATCGGAGGGAGTCTACGGCGCGGGAGGATCACAGCTCTGCCCAGTTGCAGCGGAGTGCTAGCACGGTGAGCGGATTCGGAGTACGCCCACGGAGCAGTCCGGCGGGGCTGCACGCCTACACGGGTGAGTAGTGCTTTCATGGGCGTCGGAAGGGCATCTCGAGCCGTTAAAGATAATAATTCCTAGTCCATCGATAGGCTCAGTTCCTTCCTCCGTCCATGGGTCTCGGGTTGATCTCCGCGAGGCCGACAAGGGGTCGGCTATCTACCTGGGCTGCTCGGCGCCGAGGGCCTCCACACTGTCTATATCATCGTCAAGGGGCTCATCTGGAGGTTCAGCTCCGCCTTCCCCCTGCAATACGCCCCCTGCCAGTCCACGTCATGGCGTCAGAAGGTCTGGGAGAGAAGAGTCTCGACATTAATGAAACTATTTTTAACGAATCGCATTGAATTCTCCCACAGATCAACCAGCATGGTTAAGAAGTCAAGATGAAGACATGAGCATGTATTTCCTAAGCTGGACTTAACCTTTAATCCTTGGGCTGGCACACCTTCGCGACCAGCAGACTTGGTGCGAATCAGAGGACGAACTCCTTGCCGGGATTCAGTAGCTCCTCTAGTAAAATAGCTTACAGTTGTTAGACGCCACTAGCCACGGCTGCCGGCCCCTTCGTTGCTGGCTTTGGCTACCTAAAGTTGTTGATCAATTTATAAATGGCACTCGGCACTCGCCCTCGAGTGCAGCCTGAATTATAATCAAATGTTGCGAGTATATTTTTCAGAGACGCATTTAACAAGTACCGACATATATATACACATATTTACTGTATATTATATAGCGTATTTATTTATACGAGCAGATTTGTTGTCGGTCCTCTGGGCAGGACTGCTCCCAGTGGCGAGTGATTGCGGAGGCAGTCGAACAATAACTAAGAATTGTACATTGCGTATTTTTGATTAGATCCATTGTTGCAAGTATTTTGATAGCAAAGAAACCGAAGGGGCGAGACCCGAGAAAAGCGTTATACATTCATACCTAGTTGATATAATATTGACATTTATGAGATTTGAGATTGTTATTTAGAGTTGTTGCATTGTGTAGCATTAAAAATATATAAAGAAAGTTTATTAGCTCACTTCCCACCCTTTCCTCCACGAACACGAACACTCCACAAAATTGGAATCTCTCACGACAAGCAATACAGATCGGACTTTTCTACATTAAATCGTAAACAAAATTGTAACCCAATTAACAAACCGCATTGAAGTGTGCTTTAAAGCTTGTGGCTTATCATAAAAAAGAAAAATAATTAAATTTGTTATCGAATAAGGGCATATAATTATTTACAACCATTCCTCGAATATCGAAAACAATCTTATGGACATTTTCGACATTTTGCAAGCTGGCTTTGACAAAAAGAATTGTTCGGAGATACAAAAGTGCGAATCAAATACTGTATTTATAATGCCTAGAGAAATGCACAAATCGGTTTTAGACTAAAGTTATATAAAGAAATCGTTAAGTTTGTCGAATGAACACAATTACTATACAATAATAAAGGCAACTGTCTCCAAGACACCACTAAAATAAAGTCGAATTGCATTAAATCAAGTGCATAATGCTCTTCAATATACAAACACTTGGCTTTTCTCATTTTCATCTTTATTGATGCCGTTGAGTGCTTAATCAGGCCCTTGACTAAGTGGATTGGCTTCAGGTTAGCACATGGATGTGTTTAAACAATGACTAGATTCATAATCACTTTCACAATATGCTGATGTCGCTAGTTGCTGATACTACAGACCACACTAAAAGCGTTGCAAATACTTGGCGAGATATACTGAACACAAATATTTCTAGATCCCTGTATATGGGTTAAGTACTGACTCTCGCATTACACCTCTACGTGGTTCATCAAGAGCGGCGTGTTGGCAGTGGGATACGAGGAGGGGCGTCGTTTGCTCAGCTGGACGCCCAGCACCTCGATACTTTGGCATGACAGGGTTAGCGAGAGCGTCGTCTCTTCGTAGCGCGATTGTGTGGATCCCCCGGAAGAGCGTCGAAGGCCAGTGTAGGAATCAACCTCCAGCAGAGCTTCGTCACTAAAACAGTTTTGGCAATTTGAAGTTAATTTTAAATCTGAAAATAGTGTTGTTTGCTAACCTGTGATAGCGATGGTGCTCCAGGAGACTGCCAGCGGCGAAGCGCAGCTTCTTGGGAGACTCCAGGCTGGAGGAGCGGGCTAGGGAGTTGCGCAGGAGATTCTTCTGCTTGAGCGAGGAGCGTATACCGTAGTCGTTGCCCTTTTCCTGGGCCTGCTTAATAGTGCCCTGGATGAACTTGTTCAGGGCTCTCGAGCCTCGTCGTTGGGACCGCTCGTAGGTGCGCCGGTCGCGCGCCTCCTCATCCTCGCCCAGCAGCCAGTAGGTGCGCTGCTCACCCTTGCCCTTCATGGAGATTACGCCACGCTCCTGAAAGTGGTAGCCGCCCAGACGCTCCAGTAGTTGCCTGCATTGCCAACTACAGTGTATCTTCAGCGGTACGCCGCTTGACTCCATGCGCGAAGCTGTGTTCACAGTGTCCCCAAAGAGGCAGTAGCGGGGCATTTTCAGGCCGACAACTCCAGCGCAGACGGGACCCGAGTGTATGCCAATGCGCAGGAGCAAGCGGTTAGTTGGCCGGTGGCGGATTTTAAACTCGGAGACGGCGCTTAGTAGGTGCAGCGACATGGTGGCAATCTCGGCGGCGTGCAGGTCACCGTTGCGCAGGGGCAGACCGGAAACAACCATGTAGGCATCGCCGATGGTCTCCACCTTGTAAACGTCGAAGTGCCCGATTATGGAGTCGAAGCAGGTGTAGAGGTCGTTCAGGAAGTCCACCACCTGCAGCGGCGTGCACTCGGCGGACATGGCCGTGAATCCTACAATGTCGCTGAAGTAGATGCTGACTTGCTCGTAGTGCTCGGGGTCCACCTTGTGGCCCTTTTTGAGCTGGTCGGCCACACAGCGCGGCAGCATCTCGTGGAGCAGGGCATCGGTCTTCTTCTTCTCCTCCTGCAACTGGTCCGTGCGGTCGTCGACCAGGGCCTCCAGGTTGTTGGCGTACTTCTCCATCATGGCCATCATGTTGTCGAAAATGTTTGGCCGCATCCCCTTGCGCAGAGGACGCAGCTTGGCCCGTATGGTCTTGAAGTCTGGTCGATCCTCGGGTCGCTCTGCCCAGCACTCGCGCAGGCACTCGCTAACGCAGTCGAAGGCCGTCTCCAGGGGCTGCAAGGAGGGCCTATACGGATGCAGCTGGTCCTGCGGCTGCAGCACCTTCTGCAAGCATTGCATGGGAGTTAGGCCCGTTTCTCCGAAGGGACCGCGACGCACATGCATCTCGTACAGCAGGATGCCAAAGGAGTAGGCGTCCCCGCGCTGGGTGCCCGTGACAAGCGAGGATGGACCTTGTCGGAGAAGCTCTGGGGCGCGGTACAGCAGCTCTGAAACCGAGTGATTACGTTCAGGGAGGATACATAAAGGGGGTGTAAGAGGCACTCACTCAGGCACTTGGCCGACATGTGTTGCATATCGGTGAAACTGTCCTCGATGCCCTGCTTGAAGGCGAACAGGCCAAAGTCCGTCAACTTGACCACCCATCGCGAGTCCACCAGACAATTGGAAGTGCACAAAGCGCCGTGGAAGCGAATGGGAGACTCGTGTAAATAGATGACGCCCTGCCCGAAGGACGAAGGAGGTCAGTAGTCGGCTCGCCATTAGTATAATGTTACAGCACTCACGCGTATAATGTCTGCCACCATGGAGGCAATGAACATGTTGTCCAGCTTGACGTCCTCGTTTTCCAGAATATCCTGCAAGAGAAAGGATGGGTGAGGGAAGGGAGTGAAGGGGAAGGGTCTTCGCTTTGGGTCTTGGTCACAACTGACCTTAAGGCTACCCCGGGTGCAGTACTCGCTAATGATGCAAATGTTGGGTGGGTCCGTGCAGGCGCCAATAAACGCGCATATGTTGTCGTGGCGGGCGTCGCGCAACTGTGAAAAGGACTCGCAGGTTAAGAGACTTCCGGCTGCCATCAGAGCCCACCAACTCACCAGCTTCAACTCCTTCTTCATCTCGCGAGTGATGTCGACGCTCTTTTTACGGACCTTCTTAATGGCGTACAGCTGTCCCTTGTACAGGCCGATGGGCGTGAAGATGGTCGTGTAGCGGAAGTCGGCGTCTGGATTGGAGCTCAGGCTCACCTGGCTGGTCCGGATTAGGGGGTGGGTAGACTGCGAAGGAAGACGACGCGGCATACAATGGCCAGAGAAACGGTTCAGATGGAATAGGGAAAGCGACTACCTTGGTTGCCGACAGATTGGCAAGAAAATAAATTCTTGCAGCAAAAGCACATGAACTTACAACCTCGAACAACCGCATGAAGTTATGCATCTTATTAATTTATATCGTCCTTTGCCCAAACGAGTATACCAAGCACCTAGCTGCAGGATCATTGGGATATAATATGTCAAGGAAGCGAGACTTACGCGCGTTTGCTTCTGAGCCTGCTGTTCCCGCTCGTTCTCGTGCATTTGCACCTCGCGGAAGTCTATCTTCCAGAGCAAGCTGTCTAGTTCCTGCTCATAACGCCAGTTGCGGTAAAGAACCAGTAGAACCAAGCCCAGCAGCAATAGAGCGCCTCCGGCAATGGCCGCCGAAATCTCGCCAGTGTAGTCTGTAGTTCAGATTAGGAAAGTCGGTCAAGGTGCGACTTGGACACCAAACTCTCTACTCACTGACGCACTTCTCGCCGCCAAAGCCACAACTAGGGGCAGCTGCTGGGCGCGAACCACCCACCCAGTCAATAGGCCTGAACAGATTGAGATCCTGCGGAAGGAGGAACCGGATTACGACCAAAGGCAGAGGAAAAGACGTGTTCGATTAGTGGAACCAGGCAGAAGCGCTTACCTGTGGCTGCGCGGTTGCGAGTGGGGAGTAGCAGATGGCAAGTTACAAAGGAAACATACATACCTACAAAAAAGTGTTTTACTTACTGGCAAGGCCTCGGTGCTGCTGCTGAGGCTGCTGTTTCTGTGGCTGAAGGTGCCTACGGGGCGCAGTCCTAGCACCGTCTGGTTGCGTCCGTTTCGGACCTTCCCCCTAGCTAATACTGTGTAATTGCCGGCCGCATCGCCATTCTCGTCGATGTAGACGTGATAGCTGAGACGGACTCGATTTAGAGTGATAGCCGGATTAGATGGCCACGACGAACACTCACCCCATTGCGCTGCGATAGCGCGAGCCCTTGATGGCCGCCACAATGGCGCTGCCGTTTCTCGGCCTGCCGCCCGAATCAAGGACTTCTAGCAGCGCCTTGGCATACAGATGCACGGCATCGTAGAGATAGGCGGCCTCGGCGCTTATCTGGGGAAGACAAGAAATGGAGCCCAGTGAATGGTTTCAGTTTCATGCCATTGGGTGGTCGAACCTGCTTAACGCCACCGAACAGATTCAGTGGATTGGGGAAATTAAATGGCGGTCGCTCCATATATTTGTTAACCTGAAAGCGAACAGCAATGAAATGGGTCAGATACTGTGGTCAATGTAGTGAAAGATCCCAAGCTTTTAAGCAGGGATGATGGCGGATGCAACGCATCAATCACCACCCTGTCAGGCGTGTCAGCTGTTTACCTCGTTGGCGAACGTGGCGAAGGAGACGGACGCCGTGGGAACAATTCCCAGATAGGACTGGAAGGCCTGCACGGCCAGGGGCTCCACATCCTCAAGCAGCAGTCCGCGCAAATACTTCTCAGGCTTAGCCGGCTCATACTGTTCGATGTCGATGCCCACCACAAAGTAGTCGCCTTCCGACAGAAGTCCCCGCCTTTGGAGACTTACCATGAGGCCGACGTGCTCATAGTAGTGTCCTAAGATCAGATAGACTAGTCGGAAAATAAAAAGTGTTAGCTTTTGTCTTTCCTTAAGGAAATGACTAAAATGCAGCACACTCCCAGAGTAACTCCACCTATGTTAAAGTCACTTTTTAAATCGTTTTAAATAAATGTAAATATGTATTACAAATGTCATAAAATATCTATATATCGATACTGTAATGATATTTGATGAGGAATTTCAAATATAATTCGATATTTTAACGTTACAATGTGTGCGTTAAGGCGTTATTTTCGATAATATCGATATTTTGACGTTAAATTCGATATTTTTCCTTTTTAAAATATTGATATAACCAATGTGACATTGTGGGTAATACTTATAATTTTAAAAAGATACGATCCAATTAAGGCAGGATAGGTTTTATTCCTTACTTTTTCTTAAGTGTTATTCTTTTTTGTTTAAGAAAATTATGAAAGGTTAGACAACTGATGTCATCATGATACAATCATATATATCATGATTGTATCATGGATGTCATCAAACATATTTTTTTGCGATCTAATTGCTATAAGGAACTTTCAAAGCGAAAAGTTAAATTTTTTTCAATATAGACTTGTGGTGAAAATGAAAGTACTTAAATGTATTTAAACTGTCATTGCAAGGATAAATTAAAGTTAAATTAAAGTTAAACTTGCCAAAATACACTTCCACAGGGAAGTTTGTCCGATATGTCTGTCTCTTTAGTTAATTTACTTGCGAATTTTAAATTTGTTTATTTGTTTATAAATCCATTTCTGTATGCAGATCAATTGCTACTATAACGTCGACGTGTATTCAAAAACTACACTTTCACTATTCTATAAATAACTTATTCACTAAGAAAACAAGGTAGACAAATGTGGTGGATCGTCTTAACACTAAAGCCATTTCACTAAACGATCCGCCAGATCATAAAAAAACACTTTAATTTGATGCCCGACTTACTCCTTGTGTTGACATAGGTCTGTTCCACCAGAGCATCAAAGGGATTCGCCATAAATCCATGGTGGTAAATGGTGTTCCAGGTGCGAACGTCCCTTACGCTTACTCCAGCCACAGTTATTGTGCTCAGAATCGTCTCAGCCACCGGTTGATACTGACCACTCGAGTCGTCCAAGTACAAAAAGCTTACTTGGGTCCAGTTAAAGGCCAACAAAAGGGCAACCACCGACTTTGAGATTTGCGTGTCCGGCGGTCGGGTCCTTGCAAATGTGGGAAAATCTGCCTTGTTTGAGGGATCCCGGTGGGTGCAGTACTGCAGATGGGATTATCAATAATTGTGCCGTATTGCTGCAAGAATCAGCTACTTACATAGGATATCATAGGGAGGTTGAAGGCGGCCGCCATGCGACCCTCATGTACGCACGTCTCCTGTGGGCCAATGTAGGCGGCCACCTGCTGGGTCCACAGCGCCGCCGTCTGCCGGATGCTGGCCACTTCCTCGCCAAATGTTTCGGCTACAACGAATTGCAGCGAGTGACCTCGGTCACGGAGTGGGCCGGCGTTCACTTGCTCCACCGCTAATGAGATGGCTCCGGAAATAGTGATACCAGGGCGTTGGTAGTCCAGGTTTCCCGGGCGTCTTTGCGAGCCAGTGAGGTAGCCGAGAGTGAAGACCTCTCCATGAACCTGCCCACACTGAGTGATGGCAAGCAGGAGGAGCAGAAGTAGGCGAGGCAGGAGGTACAAAAGTCCTGAGAGGTCGATTCCAGCTGGAGCCCGACAGGGGTGCGCAAACATTACGCGAAGGAGGAGATTGAAGGGTGGCTGGCTGCTCCTTTGGCGGCGCTTAATTTAAACGGACCCGCGACGAATATCGGGTTTGCTCCGCGTTGCAGTATCCTTGGAAACAGACGTTGATCCTTTAACGCGATGCAACATTTTTGTTGATTTTGCATTTATTCCTCCTCGTCTTCCTTTCTCTGTTGTACACGTGCCCTCTCGTTCTTGGTTAATTACGTTCTCGTCGTGGCCAGCTCTGGACCGTCTCTGCCATCATCCGCTTCCTGTTTCCGACTGGATCCTTTAAGTAAGAGGACTTTAATCACGAAGTCGTTTGGCACGAGTCTGTAACAGGAGAGGAACAAGGACTCGGTCATGAAGGACTGCCTCTCACTCCCCCATGTGTACTTTTATATATCCGCCCACTCCGAAAGCTAACACATAAATTAATGCACGCTACTTTGGAGGAGGCTTTCTCAAATAAGTCTGCAGTAATGACGTAACAGATTACTTTAACAATCACGCGTATATTTTACGCACTTATATGTACATTAACTTTAATGCTGCTAAGCCAGACCACCAGAACTCTTTCAGAAATAAGTATGAAAAAATTACTTATATTATTAAATTTTAATTTAAACTAAAAATAATTTAAGGAATTTAGAAATTAAACCCTAGAATAAGAGGCATCCTGGTAGCTTAGCTCCATACAAAAAATAAGGAAATACTAACAATAAAGAAATTAACTTTTCGGAAGAAGCGAATCCTAAGTTTGAAGTTGTTTATCATTGTTTCTAGGGCCTGACTAGTGCTTGATACAACGTGTGTATAAAGTTATTTTATTGTTTCGCAAAGGTCTCCGTGTATATGTTTCAAACCTAAACAATGTACTAAAATGGTCCGGTATTAAACTTCACAGACAATACGGCCAGCGTAATGAAATTTTTATGAGAAATGGGGACGCATTATGTGTGATTTTGCCAGGACGCTGCATGGGAAGTTGCTGATAGAGACGCCACCCGATATCTCACCCCCCCGGCTCCTTTCGGAAGCCTTTGTTTGCCCTTTGTCTAGCCCTCATCTCGCACTCCAGCCACATCCAACACTGTTCTGCTGATTGCTTCTTTCACACGTCCTTCGGATGGTTCGCCCCCTCGAGCCGCTGTCTCCAAGTGAGTACCATTGAAGCAGGGAGCTGGAGCAGGGCGGCTGCTGCAGTCGATACGAGACTCGTATTGAGAGTATTGGCAGAAACTTCTTGCAGCTATCCGAGTAATTTATTATATTGACTTAGTAAGGGCCTCATCTCTTCTCTCTAAAAGTACTTGGAACTTAGGCTGGCATGTTGACTTTCCCTTTGACCCCAAGACGGAACTCGCTGCAGCTGCCGCTGTTGCTACTGCTGGAAGGGATGTTTGTTGGTCGTACTTGGAGACCCCTATTTGGCTTACAAAGCGCTGCGTGCTGACATGCTGTTCTATTTATGCATATACGAGCGACTAGCCCCGCTTTCACCCTCTTCGCCAATTGCCCTCTTAACAACAACTTTATAAATTGCTGCCATCAGCGTTGCCATCGTTTAATAACGCTTCTTTGGTCATAAATCTAGCGTAACCCCGTGACGTGCTCATTGAGCCGGCAAGGAGAGTTTTCGGATCTACGGTTAATTGTTGTACTCCTTGGAACCGAACTCCAAGGGATGGGTGGGAACACGGACTGCACTTGACACAACATTTCGCTTTCAATTTATACGCACTCCGCAGGGCCCCCGCTAGGTTCGAGTTTCCGCTCCAGTTTTCCCGAATACGAGGGACAAACGTGGCCAAGGATACTGTGTCAGATTGTCAAGCGCCTTAAACAGCAGCCACAGGTTCATTCACATATTTTTTTGGATTATAAACTTTACTTCCTTGCTTTTGTTCATCTAAGGTTTGATTGTGCAACAAAAACCCCCATTGCCTGGGAAACTTATTAATCTGTTTATTATTAAAATGTCACATGCAATATAACTTAAAGAATTTGTGCATTTTATAATATAATTTTATTCAACATTTTGCAACGCAGTCAGAGAGTCATTTCCGACCCTATAAAGTATATATACATACCATATATATATTCTTTAAAATATGCATACGTAATAGTGAAATTATTCAGAAGTCTACTAATTTCACTATGACATATGGGCATCGCCAAATGGTAAACCAGGGCCAAAAAATATGTTCGCAATCATGTTTTTTTTTTTGAATGCATCCATATCATATCTCTGTTGGTTTATAGAAGAAATTAGCCTAAAAAAAAGTAGGTAAAAGTGAAAAAAATAAATTTTTTCAAAAAGATCAATTTTTCACTTTTAACTACTTTTAAAGGCGTTTTTTATTTATTACGCTAAAAAAACATATGGTAGTAATAAGAAAAGAAAAATTAAAAAAACAGCGAAATATTATTCAAATAACTGTTAATTTGAATTTTGCAGGTGGATGAAACCTCTTGTATTGTCATTTTAGTAGTTCTATTTGAAATATACAAAAACTTTTAAATTACTTCTACTAAATTACCGAGAGTATATGGTACATTTATTTTTTATTGTTAATGTTTTTTAAATTTTATTAAAACCAAATAATTAAATTCTATGTATAAACATAATTTTAAATGATCCATTTACAAATTGCACGGTATACAAACTTCGGCGAATTTGGAGCAATGGAGCATGCCAGTCTTCAATCACTATGCACGAATTGTGATCTATGAACTCCAGTTTGGGATCTACGCCAACACATAATATAAAGGAGTATCAGGTCACAGGCATTTAAATTGTTTAAGAGTGGAAATTCCTGCACATTAAAAGAGGGAAGGCTAAACCCCAACCAAAATAAAAATGACTTGATTTGCTTAGCAATTTGCAAAAAAAAGCAATATTTTTTAGGAATAAATGTGGGAAAGATATCAATCTTTCTATTGTTGCACTTGTATTATTTTCCAATTTTCAAAATTGATTAAACCCACATAAGATTTATTTAAATGAGGAAGTAAGAAAATTCCTGATTACTTCTTCAGAAATTTACGTTTACTTTTATTATTTTCACTCAGACGCACTATTTTAGCTCGAACTTGGTTAGGCAACGTTATTGTTCTGCCTCATGACATTGACGGAGGCGTGAAGGCTGCAGGCGGATTGGGGAGTGCTAAAAATTTTGCAAACTGCAATCCACTCCGCGTGCCAGCAGCACTCGACTCTTGAGGCTGTCAGGCAATTAAATGCAATTTGTCTGTCATGCAAATACGGCTGCACTCGAGCAGAGACCAACGGGGCGAGGCTGTGGAAAAGGTGGGAGTGGTGATGTTGACTCTGGCTGCGTTTGGCCGTGCTGCCGCTGAATAATTCGACAGTCTATTAGAACCATAAAAACGACTAAGGCGTGAGGGGAAATACGAACGGAATCCGAGCGTGTGAAAATCAGTGGCAAAGTGGATTGAGTGAATTGCCGTCTGTCGATCCAACAGCGATCGTGAGTGACCATCGATAAGTAATCCCTTATCGTCCAGCAATCGCAATCTTATCGAGCTTTTGAGGAATGTCCGAGGCAAAGGGTTGCTCACCCAGCTCAGTTTTATTTGAAATGCAGACAGGAGAACTTCTTGCTTTTTTGTTGACGCTGGCCGTCGCCACGGGTGAGTGATCTCTGCTTCCAGAAACGCAGTTAAAATGGACAATTAACGTGATTCCAGTCCACGCCGAGACCGGGTTCTTGCTACATACGCAGCGCATCAGGGACAGTCCGCAATGGGTGGAGCCGGAGGTGGAGGCGCTGGTGCGCAGCTCATTCTACGCCGCGGATCCCATTGTGTGAGTCACTGGTTAGATTGTGTGTTAACCTTTCTAGTAATGGATTCGCTCCTGCTCCTGCAGCATCTCCATTCCCCGCTGGCAGGGAAACAGCTCCTCGCCCGAGCTATCTGCTGTGGTGTCTGCCAGGCTGGATCAGCAGGCCAGCAATGTGATCAGCGTGGATCTGGAGAACGCCACGAATGAGGCCGAAATCGTGGAGAACGTGGCCAGCTTTGTGTCGATCTTGACCAAAAACTTCGACGTACCCCTGGAGCGTATCCTGCTGGTGGGCTTCGCTGAGGGCGCTCATCTGGCGGGTGAAGTGGCTGCCCAGTTGCACCAGGATCTGGGTCGCCAAGTGCCGCACATCACTGCCCTTGATCCACCCGCAGGAGATTTACTGGAGCACCAGCTCTCTGCATCTGACGCCGAGTTCGTTGAGGTCGTGCACACAAATGCGGGAAAAATGGGCACCTGGGAGCGACTGGGGCACGTAGACTACTTCCCTAATGGAGGCGAGACGCAACCTGGTTGTTCCGGCGACTCCTGTTCGCACGAGCGCGCATTCGAGCTGCTCGCCGAGATGTGGTCCTCTGATAACGACTTCGTCAGCGCACTCTGCGGCTCTGTCGAAACGATGAGTGCCGAGAGCTGCCGCTGGTCCACCCTCAAGATGGGACAAAAGGCACAGGGACAGCCCTCCGGCATCTATTTCCTGGAGACACATCAGTCAGCCCCGTATGCCAGGGGAGCCTACTACATCAGCTTTTTGTGAGGAGCGAAGCCAATAAAGAACCAATCGAAGAATGGTAACAAAGGAGCAACTTTGTCATTAGTCACTGTACTGTTGGGTGCAAATGGGGACAAGGGGCGATGAGCTACTTCCAAAATTTATGAGCGTCAGGCGTTTGGCTCATTCATTATTTTAAAATCAATTTAAAGGGTCTCTTCGCCCAAAAGTTTGACGCATGAAGCTGCCATGACTGAGAGCTGTCCTCGTCTGCGTCGTTATCTCGTTTCTCATGCAAAATGGGAAAGCGGAGATAGAAGAGGCTCCCAAGTTTTTCATCTGCCAGATGCTGTCCAAACCAAGCAGCACTGCCAACGGATGATAAAAGAAAAGTTCATCGGGAATCGGGTTCCTTGGCTTGCCCAGATGGATGGGTGCCATCTTGCATGTACATGTACATTGTAAGGAAATACATATATAGAAATTGTTATTAAAAGATAAAAGTAACAAATGCGTACTAATTAGACCAATAAATATGAACTAGGGGCTTTATTATTTAGCAACCTTTGATCATTTTGTGTCTCGTGGTGTTTAACCATTCCTCCTAAAGGATTTTGTTGTGCCACATATTTCCATTGGACTTATGGAAAATTTCCTTTGTGCTCAACATGCCTTGACTTTTCCCCAAGCGGATAGCTTCGCGTTTAAAACCCTCAACCCACCCACCGCCTTTGGAGCTCTTGCTGTGTGCGTGTCACTTGAAAGTCGCGGGAAAGGCAAACTGTCACAAATTGCATTTAAATGCGCTGTACTTAAGTTTATCTTTCGGGAAAGTGTAAGCGGATGTCTGAAACTACCTTTGACCCTCCTGTTTTCCTGACCCGAAAGCAGACTTTACGGCGAAACCAATTTGCTGCGTGCCCAATAGAAGTTACTGGGCCAATCCTCTCAAGCAATTTGCTCACGTACGGATTTTGTTTTCCCCAAGCTGAGGGACAGATCCATTTCATTGCGAAACCAACGACCAAAACGCCGCCTTTATGACCCTTTGCTCGCGGATATCAGACAATCATCCAATTACGCTTGATGATGATCAACCGTTGACTGATAAGGAGTCACAGTTTCGCGATAGCTACCGCCCAAAAGCATGCCACTAAGTGAGCACTAGCTAAGTTTTTCTCGCGATAATTAGGGCCCAATTAGCGGCAGGATAAGCTTTCCGCATCATGACATGTTTTTTCCCCTGTGATTTATGTTCAACATTCTGTAGAGAGAACTTAAAGTTGCACATTTTTCGCAGAAGCCAAAGTGGGCTAAGCGTGCATTTAGCCCAAAACGTTGACTCATCTGGCCCTCTTCGGGTAGCCTCAATCTCAGTTTCGGGTTTGGATTTGCGCTCTTGGCATTAAATATCAGGCCATAAAGTAGAAGCACCCACCCAACACCAAGAGAACTCCATGTAGCCAATAATGGCTCTGGAGGTGGGCCATTAGGTCGCAAGTCCTGCTATGCGTTCATTGCTTCTGCACTCCGTACTCACAGGGAGTAAGGGTATATGGTATTTGCGAAATCTGAGGAGAGGGAAAATTGTAATTCTTGTGAACAAAATATTTATGGCAGTGTCGCTGATACTACGTTAATACAATTTTTTGCGCTACGCATCTTATGCTTTAAATTGTTTTTAACAAGCACTAAGGTTTCATCAATACTGACAGCGGCATCTTTATAAGGGCTTGGGAATTTGTACATACACAATATTTCAAGATAGGTAAAAGTAGAAAAGCATGTAGTAAAATAAATAAAAAAAAAAATGTATACGCAAAATAGGTTTTGAACTTTTTTGTCTGTCAAAATATTAAACTAAAGAGCCATTCCCGTGCTTTATCAGGTATCTAACCGTCGACCACTCGACACTGATTTTTCCTCTTGTGTTTTTGTGGTTTCCTACGACTCCAAGAGAACTTTGCAAGCAAAATATAGAGCCATTACGGAATGTATAACAGAAATTAAGTCGCAACAATTTCATTTTCATTTCACTTTGTTTCGCTTTGAGCGCTCCTTCGCATTTCAGCTCCCCCCTATTGGCCTGCCTTTCTAACGTTGATGTTAATGAGCACAGAAATGCGTTTGCATTTGGGAAGTTGGAATTGATAAGGAATCTCGCGTCCCAGCTGCCCTCTCTTCATCAATTAAAGTTCCTTTGAGATCCGCACGCACGTTGCCAAGGTGCCTTCCCACTTCCACGCTCTCTCCCCCCTGCCGGTGAGCTTGCGTTTATTGCTATGTTAATTTTTGTACAACAATTTTATGGGATGCCGTTGGAACGGCTCACCAAGCAGGGCCCGCTGCCGCCCCTTGCACGACCACTCTTCCTGTACGAGCCCCATGCCCCATGCCCATAACTGTGCCAACTGTGGGTGCGGCTTTTTGTCGCCAGCTCAACCTGGTGGCTCATTGTTGGGCTGCTTGTGCTGTTTGTGGCTGTGAGCCCTGATAAGCGACAAGCAGAGTGTAACATATGTCGAGCGCCCACCCGCTGCCCCAGAGAGGTGCTTTACATTCGGAGCTGAGTCAAGTGATACGCAGGCGTTTCAACACCAGCGCCAACGCCCACCGGGTGAAGTTAGGGAAACCGATTGAAAAGCCATCTGCATACAGGTTAATTAAATTTACATGACCCACCGCCAGCTCCGCCGCAGGTGGGAATAGCATGCAAGTGCGGACCGAGATGGAAAGACAATTTTGCGGGTAATTTGCGTTTCGCTGAGGGACATCCTCTGCGCGAGGCATAATCTCTCGACCCCGTTTCGCGGCTAATCAGCATTATTAGTTTTATATATTGTGGGTACTTAGCTTTTTAAAATAAAGTGCGAAAGCGGTGACGTGACTGATAGCGCTCTGCTCGGAGCTGGCCAAAAATTTCCAACGCCACAAAGTTCGGGCGCCACCTTAAGGCCGGCTAATGCCCGACTAATGCGAATGCTGGCCAAGAGCATTAATCATTAATCATTTCTGCGTTTGCCGAATGCAATTGCAAAAAGTCACATGCAGTGCGTTCAATGTGAAGCAGATATGCAAATATACGTGTGTATCTATATGCATTGAAATTTAAATTTGGATATATAATCCAACAGTGGGCATTATAATAGTACAAATACATCATTATTCATTATTCAATTTTCATTATTATCATTTTTATACTTACAATTCCCTGAATATTTTATAGTAATAATAATAATACCATACCCATTTCTGTGATAATTTTTTTAAAGCAGTGGTGCCCAAAGTCCTTACTCGCGAGTCGCAGTTAGGTACTTTTAAATTTAAGAAACTATTAGCATAATTTTTTATGTTGCAATATTAAGGAAAATAGTTGCTACACATTGTGTTTCTAATTTCTAGCCACTTTTTTCTATTACTTACAACAATGCCAATGTGCAATCCACTGCACTATGGGGTTTTGACCACATTTGTGGCATTTAGTCATTTTTTAAAATTGTATTAATTGTTTAAATTGTACGTCTTTATACTAACATTTTGTCATTTCATAAATGCACCTTAAGCTGAATTTTGAGAAACAAATTTTAACTTTGGGAAGAGTTTTGAAATAGAAGTTTTACCAAAGCCTAAAAGTAATGACGATAAGCAAAGTTTCATGACAATATCTCCAAAACTGACCGAGTTATTAAATAATGCCACAAAAACAGGTCAAAAACCCCATAGTGCACTGGCTCAAAGTATTTGCAAATCTTAAAATAGAGAAAATCTAATATTCGGTTATTAAGCGGCGCTGTTCCGTTGACCTCAGCTGTGCGGCTGTCGATTCGCCGTTGAGTGTGGTCAGTGACAGAGGAAGGGGCAGCGCAGCCAAATGCAGAGGCCAGGCCAGGCAAGAAAAACTGCACGCCACCGAGGCAGTGGGCCAATGACAGGCCCCCGCTCGCTCTGCACCCCCCTCCCAGCCCCCTCACATTCACACGCACACCAGGCGATCCGCAATTTGACAGCGGCGTGCTTATGACAGCAGCGCAGCCTCTGCTGTACGCGATGGCATGCTGCTGCACCGGCCGCGGCTGCAGCGACGACGCCACGCGACTGAGTCATTCTGCAGCAGCAACGGCCGCTGCCAGCAGATGAAATTTAAATAAATTGTGGAAAAATGACAGTGCTCTGTGAGCCTCTCATTGTTTGCGCTGGCTTTGACTGGGCCACTGTTGCTGCTTTTTATTGCGCTTATCAATTATTTTCCCATTGCATGGGAATTGTATGCAGATCTGGCGGCGGCGGCGGGGTGTGATGCTTTTGTAATTGCGTAAGAACTGTCATACGCACTGTGTGCGCTCTGTTGAGCTCCTAACGGGATTCGGACTCACCTCCCTCGCTCGGCGCTTCGCTGGAGCTCCGCAGCTAATTGAACTGCAATTGGATTTTCTAATTTGGAGGACCGGTATTTACGAGCCACGGAGTTGGCGCTCTGCTGTGGACAGAGCGTGGTTCTTGTTGTTCCACGCGGAACCAGCACTAGTGCTCAGGGAATTTGGTCACGTCCAAGGCGAAGTAAAACAAACGCAGCCGGTGCAAAACTAGATATTTTGCTTCAGTGGCGAGTTCTGCATTAATGAAGCACTCTCGAGTGCGCCCGCGAATGTGCGATAATTTATTAGTGCCACATTTGCGACACAGATTTCGATTTCGGACTCGGACCGCCACGGCGGGGCGGGGGCCAAGTCAATTCAATTTCCCCACGCGCACACTGGCTGACCCCTTTCGGCCGTCTGCAAACACTAATAACGGGCCTATGCCAGTCTATAAACACAATTTCGCCAAATTCTGCCCATCAACACGATCCATTTGTCGAGCCGTCAACGCACTTGCCTCCGCTCGACACCTGTTGCTGAAAACGCGCCAATATTGGATATTCGCGGGCAGCGCGGCATCCGTGATGCAGATGGATGTCAGCTCTGGCATGCAAAAGAGTTCACCGCGCTCCTCCTTTCTCGTTTACGAAACCAATTGTGTTGTAAACAGTCAGCACGCGCCGCTTTATTTGCTTTTCAGTTCGCCTCAGTTCCGACAGTCTGCAAACTCCGCGCACGTCTTGCGTCTCGAAACTCCCGCACTCGATTTCACACTCGCGTCGCCTGAACAGTCAACCGCCAAAGTGCGACCATGCTCAATCAAAAGAAATTGCCCTCAAAAATGTGCTGCCAATAGGGTTGTCGAACATTTAAAAAAATATCGTATCGATGATATATTTTTATCGAAAAATATGATGATAATATTTTAAAATATTACTGCAAAATATCGATATATTATCAAGTTTATGCCCTCTTCTGCAACTGAGATGTTTATACGTTCTATTTTACAGTTTAGTTTCAGGGTTTCAACTCATCTTAAATTAATTGCTTCCCCAATGTCGGATCAGATGTTTTAATAATACTTCTGAGATTTGTCTCGTATGACGTATTGACATTAGGGTAAATAATTTTGTTATTTAATGAATATTTTGCAAATACGGCGTTTGGATGAGTCTTTAGTGCTTGTTAAAAAAATTGATGATACTGCATTTGATAATTTGTGCAAAATTTGTGCCTTGAGACATATTTTATTTGTTGCAGCAATGTTGAAGTGAGGTTGCATATCAATTTTGGTAACCGCAGCCTTAATTGACAGCCTCATGTGTCGCAAACTCGAGAAATTTGGAACGGTTTTTAGCAAGAAATACATGTTAATCATGAACAAGATATAGATATGTACCCTTAACACATAGTACAGACAAACGAATGTTAATTAGATCTCAACAAACAAAAGTATTAAAGTCGAACAACACAAAAACATATTTATGTAGGCCATCTTTAAAATTTCACAAAACAATCTTAAATAATCAACATTTAGCTGACGGATGACGGGCCTATTACTGGCATATTTTTAGTAAAAACTTTTTACAGAGTACAAACAGTAGTAGTAGCTCCGACATCCTTGAAAAAGCAGATGACGAAAACTTACTAGATTTGCGATATTTGCAAAAGCACTTCCCATCATCATCCCCACGCATTCAGGCATGATGCTGTTTTTGCTATAAATCTAAGTCATTTAAAATGTCACTCGCGATCGATTCAAAAATTGTGAAATACCTCGTTAATTATGGTATACATTGGTTTCACAAAAATTTTTATTGTCATTAAAAAAAAATGTATTTACAACATAAAAATGTTAATTTCTAGCCGCTGCTAACATATTTTTCTGCATTACGCATTTGACAAACATGGTTGAGTTACGCCGAGATATTTTAAAATCCTTTCTGTCACTGCTTTTAGCGAAGGTTCAAACCCAAGAAAGGAACTTAAAATTGGTGAAGAGACAACTACAGTGAGTCACAAAAGTATTCGTTGTAAGGGAGATTATGAGAATTTTAACTAACAACTTCAAAATGTGAAAAAAATGTATTTCTATCCCAAAGATGTATATTTTGTTGAACATATGAGGAAAAGAAATTACCTTTAGAAAACGTTTTCAATAACAGGCTATAGTCAAATATATATATACAATTAAGTAGATTTTTATGCTCACAAAAGTATTCTTTTCTGATATATATATATTTTTTTTCGTGGGTTAGTTAATTTTTTTTACGGATTTTGATAGGACTTAAACTCCTTCACAGAGCCCAGACGTTAGCCCTACTGAAAATCTATGCGACCATCTGAAGCTAAAATTCCAGAAATATCGAATTACTTCCAAAAAAGGAACTGAAAGACATAATGCGGAAGAAATGGTTGACTGTAATCTAAAGACATTAAAACATTCATATAATACTAAATATATTTTATGAATTTTTCAATTGAAAAACCGTATTCTGACATTCTGAATTTTTTATTAAACTATCGTACATATCGCTATTGCTATCGAATTCTAAACATCGATAACATTGATGAATTGGTATTGAAGAAGCGATAGTATTGGTTGTGAAATATTTGGGGAAAAGTTTTCATCTGGTAACACTGCAAAGAAATATCAGAATTGGCAAAAACAGTTCGTTTCGGGCGTGTAAAGGCAATTCGAATTTCTAAGTAGCCAGGCAGTGACCCCGCGGCGGATTCGCAACACAGGCATCAGAATGAGTGCACCTGGCATGGACAAGAGAAAACTCTCGTAAGTAGACTTCTCAACGCTGCACTCCGTCGCGTTCTTAGTTTTTTCTTCCAACGCGCACGCACACACATTCTGCCGAGACGTCGGCAGAATACACACACAGCCTTTATGGGCAGCAGCTGCGCGCAGGCCGGGCAGCGCAGTCGTCGTCAAATTGATTTTTCGCGGCAGAAGTTGTACAAGTCGGAAGACATTCCCGCAGATGCATTGGGATAACCATAGAGCGGGATCATCCCTGGCGAGAGAGGGGAGAGGCTGGGCAAATACACAAGAAGCGAGAGAGATAAGGGAAGGGAAGGGGAGAGACAGCTGGCAGGTCCTGGGCAAGGCCAAGGACGTGCCGCTGCAAACTGCCATTTGCAAAATCCGTCAAAGAGAGAATTCAATAAACGCTTGTTTCGTGTTTCGTGTTCCGTGTGCCATGCAACTCAAATCGCGGGATCTGCCGGATTGTGCGATAAGAGCCAGTGCGATCCACTCGCTCGCCAACTATTTCAGAGCTCGTTATCGACAAGAGTTTTATAGCCGCTTCGGCCAACTCGCCGCCGCACCCTTCGACGCCATATGAGTAATGGCAACAGAAGCCGTTTCTATTTGGCCCAGTTCTGCCTGCTGCCCAAGGCAAATGCGAATTGGCGCTGCCTGCGCCTTCGTGACGACTTCCCGCGTCCTTGGCCCTGTGCGGGCGCCTCTTCGGCCCACTGGCCCTGGGCTTCTCCATCCGCTCGAGTCCCTAATCGGCCTCATCAGCAGGCTTCTCATCCACTTCCCCAAGCATTTAGGCAGTGCTTGGGTCCAAGCTCATGCTGCCTTATCAGCTCTTAGATTTCCCTCAGCCCAAGTGCGGGTGTAGACGAAACCCAACCCCCCAAAGCTTATAAATAGCGCGTCACCTGCTCAAAACAAAAAATCCATACAGTGTGCAAGCGAAAGGGTGCAAATTATGCTGCACGCGACCCCAGCTGCCTGCTGCGGCGCCACCAATCCAAGCTGCTTCCGATCTGGCTGCCTCAATGCCATAGCGTTGCCAAGCAATCCCACAGAGCAGAGTTAAAGCTCCCCTTGGAAGCGCTCCCATCGCGTGCAACGTCCCAGCTAACTGTTGCTTTGGTGAGTCATCACCCTCAGGAGAACTTGCTGCTCTGTCTCTGTCTAGGCCCGAAAGTACTATGCGCTTGGTGTGTTGAGGGAATGTCGGCGTCCAAGTATAAGAACGCATGTATTTACGCTGAAGATCACACATGAGTAATAAACAGTGTTATCTGGATGTGGCTTTATCAGCCGCAAGTGCTTCGCTATTATGGACACTGTATTAATAAGAATTTTCCTTCGATTAGCACATCGGGGGACTCGCTTTACGAAATCCTAGGACTTCCGAAGACAGCCACCGGAGATGACATTAAGAAGACATACCGAAAACTGGCACTCAAATACCACCCCGACAAGAACCCCGACAATGTCGACGCTGCCGACAAGGTTATGTCTTGTTATAGCATTAATTCACACAAAACACTTCTAAAAGTCCAGTTCCATTTGCAGTTCAAGGAGGTGAATCGGGCTCACTCGATATTGAGCGACCAGACCAAACGCAATATATACGATAACTACGGCTCGCTGGGCTTGTACATCGCCGAGCAGTTTGGCGAGGAAAATGTCAACGCGTACTTCGTGGTCACGTCGCCGGCAGTTAAGGTGAACCGGGCTGTTTTTTGCCATTAATAGGCAGGTGCTATAGTTCTCTGATCTCTTGCAGGCACTCTTCATCTGCTGCGCCGTGGTCACTGGATGCTGCTGTTGCTGTTGCTGCTGCTGCTGTTGCAACTTCTGTTGCGGCAAGTTCAAACCGCCGGTCAATGAGTCGCACGACCAGTATGCGCATCTCAATGTGAGTGATGTTTGAATTTGCCCAGCCAAGTCCCCCACCCTGTCCTGTCCCCAACTACTAACGGAACGCATTTTGATTTGGTTAAGAGAAACAAAGAACACAAGAAATTCAATCTGGTGCAAAGTCCCCACTAAAGCTCCACTAACGCATGCTTCTATCCATTCACACTGTAATACACCCAACCGAGCACCGAGTCCATGACACATTTTGATGATTTTTGTGAGGAGATCCCTAGCGCAATTCGTTCAAGCAGCTAGTGTTTAGTCAAAAACGTGCTCCTACATATAACATTAACGCTTGATCAATAAATGCCTAACCATTATTTAGTATATGTGGCTTATCAGCTTTCTTTACCCGCTACCTTCTTAGTTTGGGTTGCTTTTTAGTCCGTACAAGCCCTCGAATCTCCGCACTGTTTCTTATTTGTTTAACACTGGGGTAAGTATGTATGGAGTGTGTTTTTCGGCTCGCAGTACCTCATGCGCAGGACAGACGTGAGTGGCTACCACACATAAACTTGTTCGATCAACTCGGGTTATGTTCTCCCTCTTCAAAATTTTATCCCAACTCTATTTGTTTTATAATGTGTACTTCGCGAAAATCATCAAATGCTTCCGACGTCTCTCACTTTCCATCCAATCTTATGTAAACCACAGACCTTGTAATAACAATTTGAGTAACGCCATACTATTTTTTTGCTCTCAAATATCGTAATGGCTCCAGGCTCTCTTGATATTGAATGACGATTCAAACGTATGGGCGCTATGAATCTTGTTATTGTTGGGTCCTTGTGTAAGCAGTAATAACAAATGTTAGAAACTCAAGCTACCAGTTCCCAGACGGAAATTTTAATTTGATCCACGATTGCTTCTCTTGTTTTTTAAGTACTCCATTTCGCATTCATCTTAAGTTTGCACCAACCTCAAAGTGCTCTTCCTTTGTTTGTTTAGTTACAAGCCCCTAAAGAAAAGCCGATGATTTACGTTTATATTTTTATTTAACGTTTTTTTCTAAAAATTCTTTGCGATCGACTCATCATATCCACTACCCACCACCCACCACCACACACTCGCTCTCGACCCGCGTCGACCAGCGCCCCGATGGCAATCGAGATGTCAGCGATCTGCCGCCACAAATGGGACAGCAGCCACGTCTCGTAAGTATACAAATCGAAAACGACACCAGCACCAGCACCGTATGACCTGCAACCCCTGCAACTAAGTAATAAACTAACACGAAGCCACTAACCAAGTCCGAGGGAAGCTTAAACCGTAACCAATCTAAATTTAAATGTTCCGAGGAGGCAAGTTATTTGTTCAAAATTTAGTCGAAACTGAAACCGACGAGTGAAAATTAGCCAAAACGGAGAGATGATGATGAATGGGTTGAAAGGGTTGCTGTAATTGCTTGGGTAATTGTTTTATGATTTCTTGCTGCCACGCTGCTTTCATCACGCTAATTTTGTTTTCGTAGTGTTTGGCAAAAGCCACAATAATAACACTAGTTGCTTAAGTGTAGAATTGTACATATCGTAGACCCGCTGACGACCCACAACACGTTTTTGACTAAACATTGTCGAAGGACAAACTGCTTTTAGCTCTGTAAACAAGAAAAAAAGAAGACATATTTGCTTATATACCCACATTTTGTGTGCCCCCAGGAGGATGTGGATCTGGACGACGTGAATTTGGGTGCGGGCGGCGCCCCCGTAACAACACAGCCACGCGAACAGGCCGGAGGACAGCCCGTGTTCGCAATGCCGCCGCCTAGCGGAGCTGCTGTTGGAGTTAATCCCTTCACCGGAGCACCAGTGGCCGCCAATGAGAACACCTCGCTGAACACAACGGAGCAGACCACATACACGCCAGGTATATAAACAGTCAGTCCAGAAGACAGCCCTAAGGAGAGGTTACCCAACCAACAAAGCGTCTTTGACCATCGAACTTGTTATCTTTGTGCATAAATTGAACCAATATTGTAACCTTCGGTCGGTGTACTCTGTCAGACCTCGGCCTAAAAACACACCAGCAACAATTGCTTGGATCACCAAATTTACTTTTCCACGTGTGTAAAATCTCACAGATAGCTAGCCATACCGACACGTCCAGACAAACAAGGGATCTACCACAATACTCAGATCTCCGATTTGCATATTAAGTCTTTTGTTAACACCTTGATTGACTCAGTCCTCCGCCCTTGAGGTTGGCTGCAGTTGTTCTCAAATCTCCTTAATTAAGGATCCGTATGCAGTCTCACTTTTCTAAGCGAAAAAATAATAATTATTCTTTGAGTGATTAGATGAAACAAAAAAATTATTAATTCAAATTGGTTTAATATATCAAAATATAGATTTCAGCATCCAAATTATACCCGATTGGTATAATTCGTCTTTTCCAAGTGGATGATTTTTTTGATTAAAGAAAACATTGATAATAATTATTTACGGTCCCTGGTATTCATTAAAAATGTAATAACAGGAGTGATTTGTTTTAATTATATTTTAATTTGAAACGATAACGTAATATAATATTCAGACATAATTGTTTCATTATGTAATATATGGACAGCCCCTGAGCCAGTCAATCAGTTTAGTTCAGAGATCAAGAATCACTGCCATGACATGTTCAATTAATTCTGTTTATGTTTGATTGGTTGCTTTATTTCTACCTGTCTCTTCCTTATTGTTTGTTATGCAACGCATGAATTTTGCTTTGTTTTTCTCACTTATCACCGTGTCTTCTATTCTCTCTTTCTTTCCTCGCCTCTAGATATGGTTAATCAGAAATATTAGGCAAGTGCTGCGAACGATTCAGATACAGACACAGAGCCCTAACCCGTAACAGAAAAACATAAAAGCCCGATATGTTTCGTAACTATTAAAGTTGTTTTTAAGATGCGCGATATGTTGAAGCAGTCAACATATGAACTTATGTATTTATTGTAAGCCGTAGCACTTAGCTCTATCTTTAAACAGTCTTATTTTGAGGTGGGCTCTTGGCAGCCGCCCGTCAGGTTGATCTTGGTCCACTTCGAGTAATCTTGTCACCAAATTCCATTATTCAGAAAGCAGCCACCTAGCAAGATCTATTAAGAACTCGACTTCACATCCTGTTACGCATGACCTTGTCGCGTCGACTAAGTTGAATATCCGAAGTTAGTCTCAATATTTGTTGTTTGATCGCTCTCCTTCCTGCGTATGGATTCAGTCGTAGTGGACAAGATTGTAATGATATATGTGTATATGATATGTGTTTCTAGTTTGCATTTGTGTCCTCGCCCAATCTAGCTTAATTGTTCGCGAAATCGCCTCAATCGGTTCTGTTAATGTGTCGGAACTACTTATGTAAAGAAGATGAATTGTCGAGCGACTCCCAAGCAGATTGCTCCGATCCGATCCTAATGCAAATGTAAATAAGTCAAGTTATACAAATAAGCATCACACAGACAAGCAGAGGAGGACGATAAGGAGGACACTAAATACAACATAGGGCGGAACTTAATGGAAAGATAAAATATATATATAAATATAATATTAATCCCCTATTTATAAATATTAAATACAATTAATCAAAAGTTCAATTGTAACCCCCAAAAGTATTGCACTTGCACATGTATTCAAAATTGTTTCAAATTAAATTTCATCCCGTTCGGTTTAGTGTTTTTGTTAACACCCTTAACTGCTTTTAAATGTAAATGAATGCGTGCTTAATCCAACAGTAATTAAATGTTATATCCTAATACCCTGCCCCATTTTAAATCATTTACATCAATTATACAAATTATTGCATCTGGGCTGGCACGGGACTCGGATCCGTCGATCTGTTTTGAAGGCTTTTAAAGGATGACCAACACCCTGGCCCAGCCATGGTATAAACAAAGACCGTATAATAACAAGATGCATAACGCCCATACATTTCAATGGCCATATCGCGCTCCCTGTGCTCGCAACAAGTGGAGAGCGTAAAAATCTAAAAATATATAGTGCTCCCATTTGTGAGGTAGAGCAGGTGCGTATATGTGCTTACAGATCTAGAACGCTTGAGAATTCGTCTGTTGGCATACACTTGATGTTGACTGTCGCGTAGAAGAGGGTGTGTGGTTCTTAAGCAAATACGAGTGCAAAATAATCGTATGTCGTTACTCATCTTGTTATAACGGGCTTGGTATATTAGTGCATACTTACGTACATATATGAAATTCAATTAAAGGTGATTACATCTAACGGTCTTGCGTGTGTATTTATTGTTCAAGTCAAGTCATAAGCAAAAATAATTAGTACTCTACATTTAAACAATTGTTTCCAAATTCCAATTGTATTCTGTATCTATAACACGTTGAAAGCGAAATCAATAAATTTACTATACAAACTCAGCCGGTATGTGGTGTCTTGGCTTCGGGTTGAGGGTATCCCTTAGTCGATGGACTCTTCTGTCAAGCTCAAGAAAGCTCTCGAAGGATGGTAAACAAACCTGACGCCAACCCGCCTGTCGCGCTTCGGGAGAGAGAACTTTAGACGGCGCCAGCTGACTGCAGTTAGCTTTCACTCCTCGCTCGCTTTCTCTCGGTCTCCGGCTCTCCTGTTGTCCGGTTCTCTGGCTTTGTTTTGTTTTCGGGCAGTAACAGGCAGGCAGGCACATGCGCTCTGGCCAAGAGCTCCCCAGCAGCTCGCTTCCGCGGGGGCTCTCTCGCGTCGGCTCTAAACTTCGCCGCAGAGTTGTTCTGGTGCTTCAGAAACCGAAGGGCAGTCGGAAAGTTAGTGCGAAGTGCAGACAAAGGGAGGAGACTTTTCCTGGCTGCTGCTCCTGCTCACCTACAGCTCCAGCTCCAGCTCTAGCGCCTGCTCCTGCCAGCAACATAAAAGTGGAAAATGTGATGTGTTCGCTTTAATTGTCGGGGATAAATCAATTCCGCTGTTAACTAGATTACTGAACAGACCTGGCCGAAAGCAGCAGCGGAAGCGAAGGGGCCAAATCAAAAGCAGGCCGTGGAAAAATATCCGCACTCTTGTGCGTTTGCGTGTGTGTGCGACAGTGTGTGCGTGCGTGTTCTTGTGTGTGTTCGCCTTACTTTTTTCATGCGCAATTTGGGTTACAAAGCGAGAAAAACGCTGCTTTAAATGCATTAAAATGTTTTAGGCACGGGCTTCATTGATTTTCCCACGAACAAGAGTATGCTGCTCGGAGCGAGCCAGCCACCAAGTCCACTCCCGGAACAAAGGAACCAGGCCAGCGATGTGGACAAAGACGCCGCAGCTCTAGGCGCCCCGGAGTCGTAGTCCCAGCACCTGTTCTTAGGGCTAGGACCAGTCCGCCCGCGGACCAGGACCCTCAGGAACACAGGCGGAAAGCAGAACAGGCATCCTGGCTCCCGTACTGCCGAGCAGCGGCTTGTCCGGTCTCGTCGGCGCCGCCAATGGCAAGCACCAGCACCAGCCTCACCTCCTCTCGCCCACGCACACGTCCCTGCCGGCCGGCATATGCAGCAGTGACAGCGGCATTTCCACACTGAGCGCCATCTCGCCGCCGCTCTCCACCGCGACCACGGCTGCAGCTAACGCCGGAGGCGGCGGCAGTCCCCAGCTTCGCACCTCTCCGGCGTTGAGTATGCTGGGCAGTGCCACGGCGACGGCCAGCGCCAAGTTGGCCAGTAGCGGCGGCGGGACTCTTACAGCTGGCATGCTGGGCCCGGCGGCTAGCATCGACCTGGGCAGCTCGCCCCTCTCGCACCGCAACTACAGCAACTCGCTGAAGGGCTTCAGCTTCCGGCGCAGCTTCGACGACAAGATCATCGCGCCGCCGTACTTGTCACGCGCCCACGCAATCCCCTATCCGCACTTTCATGCGCCGCAGCCAGCGCCCACCACAACGCACCACCACCATCTGCATCAGCATGCGACCGCAAATGGCACTGGAACGGGATCATGTGCCGGTGCTGGAGGACTATTCTCGCCGGCACACCAGCAGCCGCTCTCCCTGTCAACGATGGCCGCGGCTCTGCCTCTGGCGCCGCTCTACGGGTCCCCACTGGCGCTGCCGTTGACCTCGTCTCAGTCCACTACAAAGCTCTCCTACCGCGATGACTTTCTTCAGCAGATTGGATACCTGCCAACCACGCGCATCTACAGCACCCCGACCAGCATCGTGGACGAGGACAAGGCTCAGCAGGACTTCCTCTCGCTGTCGCTCTCCCCACCGCTCAACCGGCGCCGGGACATGCCGGCCCTGCGAGGACCCTTCGTCAGCTTGTAAGTATGCACAGAGTTTAACCGTAAGGATTTGCATCCGTAGCAATCTGGGAATAGTTCCCAATGGCTTGGTATCCTTGTAGGCTACAGCACACCTATCCATATCAGCTCAGAGACATAAAATTATTAGATGTTTTCAAAATTTTAAATTAAGGTATTGCTCAACATGCTCTTGGCAATACTTGTCAATACTTTGTCGGTTTTAATTTAACAAAAATCCGATAACTATATATTTCATATACCTGTCCCAGGAGCGATCGGAATTCAAGAAAGGAAAATATTTCGTGATGCTGAAGTATGTAGATCCTTGCAGTTTGCAATCATGTCCCTAGTTCTTCTAGGAAAGTTTATTCTGTATTTTTGTAGAGAAATTTATCTATATTTATTATTATTAAATTATAAGGCTATTAAACAAAAATATTGTTTAATAAATATGAACAAATTAATTAATACATTTTATATTTAATAGTGCTGAAAATATCCATTATTGAACAGAAAAATTAAATATCCCAAATTTTCTTTTTGTACATCGTTAAAATGTGCTTGATTCTAGGGTATATATATCTACATATGTACATGCATATGTATATTGAGTTATGTATATGTATATATGTATATATGTATATGTATATGCGAATGCAATAATTCTCTCCATTTAGAGGATTTATTCCTAATATATTCTTATTATTTTCCGATCGTTTATACACTGCTGGTCTTGGGTTAGACGCACTCAGATTTCCAAACAAATTTGTTATATATTTTTTATTTTAATGATTATTGAAAAAATGTTAATATGCAAAATCATTGCTTATTTAATAATACTTCAATTATAATATTCAAAATTTTATAAAGATATAACATAAGCTGTGTTTTCAATCATTTTCTTCAAGCAACTTAAAATAAGGCACATTTTTCTTGGTCAATAGAATAGACGCACTTACGCATAATATTTTTTTTTTCAGAAAGTAACCTATTTTTAGCTTAAATTTGTAGTTGGTGTTAATATTTGATTTATTAGAAATAAAAAAAAAACATTTCAGTAATGAGTACTGCCTCCTTTGTTAGTAATAACTTCATATATCCGGTCCTTCATAGAATAATACAGGGAATCTATGTAATTCAACGAAATCTCGCTCCAAGCACGTTTAATAGCTGCAGTTAATGTTTCCTTATCTTCGTATTGCTTTCCTCCTTCGTATACCTTTCGCGTTAGCCAGCCCCAAACATTTTCAATTACGTTAAGATCTGGAGAATATGGTGGCCAGGTCATGATATTAACGTTTTGACTCGAAATAAACGACTTTACTACTCGAGCGTTATGAATATGAGCATTGTCTTGTTGAAAAATCCAAGGAATTGGTCCAAAGAGATCATTTAATTTTGGAAATACGGACTCCAACAATGTTTTGAAGCGATCGCCGTTCATCTTCTGATCGATACAAATCAAGTCAAATGTTCTATAAAACGTGATGGCACCCCACACCATTACTCCACCTTCTCGGCTGTGGTGGCGACTTAAATATATCTCGTCTTTTCGCAAATCGTGATAATAATATTGAAAACCATCGGGACCATCTAAATTAAAACGTTTTTCATATGATAGAAACTTAATACACTATAACTATTTTTAAAATTTTAAACGAGATTACCATAAATGAGATTTTGAAAAATACAATTTATTATTATAGTTATATTAAAGTTATATAGTTATATTGTCTTAACATTCTACGATCATTATTATGAGAGGTATATAATATGGTGTTTCAGTTTAAATTAATTTGAAATTATAAAAAATATATATCTCTGAGTTTTCTAATTTTATATACTACCGACTATTGACTATCTGAAAGATTTATAAACTGTAATACATAGTAGTTAGCGTATTAACAAAAGGTGGTCAGACAGAATATTTAGTTATATGTTGGGTCATAAAATACTTTTTCTCTGCGAGTGGGTACCGATGGGCTCCAGTTAGCAGTATAGTGGTATATAGTAACTCTCCAGAAACAGCAACCTCTGCCAAAGAAATAGAAGGTCTCTAAATTGATTTTGTTGAACATAGTTACCCTAAGAAATGCTTGTATTCATCGAATTTGATAAAAAAAAGGATTAGCATATTCTAAAACTAATTCTAACCAACTAATATTGGTAAAAAACCATAATTAAAAAGGTCATATTTTGTTCTGATAACAATTTCTAAAACATAGGCATTAGTTTTGAATTTGGTTTTCGAACATCACTCAAAAACAAAATTCTTGAAAAAGCTATTTTAACAAGTGAAATTATGAATCTAGTTTAACAATATTTAGGGGAACCAAATAAAAAAAAATAATAATAATAACTATAATAAAATATGTGCATAGTATTTTGGGAAATTTGGGAAATCCCCAAAAGTTCATACATTTGCGAGGTGCTGATTTTTTTTCTGGCCCAAGGTGTGTTTACATATGTACATGTCATATACCAAATTCAATTTCAGGATTTTAATACAAAAAAAATATTTCATAAAAACTATTAACAGACAATGAAACAAACGTTTTCATTTTGAAAAAGCCGTTCAAATACAGTTTGTTGCACATCTTTTAAATGTAGTATTCTGAGGTTAGTGATTGGATAAACGGCATTAAACTTTCCCCAAAATTTCCATTTTTCAAAATGTTTATTTTCGCACTTTCACTTTCATTTCACCCAAACTAATACGCCTTAGGAAACAATTTTAAACATCTTATCAACACCTTTTGATAAAGCAATTATTGGGTTTAATCGAAATTGTCATAAAAGATTATTAGTTTTATAGTCTCGTTGCTCACTACACGCATCGCCTCTATGTGGACTACCATATGAATACCGGGTATAAAAATGTCCTTGATTGTATGAACATTGTATAAATATTGGACATCTTGGTTTAAGGGATCTTTTATGATCTGTGAGGGCTTTCTTTTGATATTACTCCCAATTGTAAATCAGCCAGATACAGCGGGGTGTCGATTTCGCCCCACCATCCCCTATGTGTATTTACATAAGACGCCCGGTGCCCGCGCGTCTCCTCCCTGGGGCGTCCGCTTGGTTTGTTTACGTTTTTAATTTGGACTAACCGCAAGTAGGCGCCACGTGACGCCAGTCGCTAACTAACGACCATCCCCTCCCAGCAGGTGAAGTCAGCTTCACACATTCGTACTCACACCAGCGCAGAGGCACTGCAATTGACCGAAACGATGACGTTTCTCGCTGCCTTTCTCTGCCCTGCTTTTGCAGTGATTTTCTCGGTGATTTGTTGTTTTTATACGCTTCTTTGGGCGTCTATAAATAATAATACGGCGGGAGCGGCGAATACGGATTGTGCCATGGTGTGCGAAGGTCCGGAAAAGTGTGTGAGCACTAGAGTGGCACTTGGCGAGTGTTCTTCGCTTCAAAGGAGTCGTTAGCAGCTCCGAAATGAACAAGTATTGAACCCAGTATGTGAAGGGGGCGTGGAAAAATCAATTCACCCGGTTAGTCACTTAGGAACTTAAAACACCACATGTTCGGCAGTGCCATTAAACTATCCAATGGACCCCTGACACCCCAATACTAAAAACCCACTTTTTGTAAGCTTTCGAAAAATTCTGGAATTTCAGGTATGCAAAACCCTGTTGTTCAAACACCCGTATGTATGGTACGAACCAACTCGTGCATACATACATATGTATGTACATATAGGCGAGGAAAAACTTGGCGCTATGCCCAAAAATCTCGAGGAACTCGATGATAATAATGATATCCCCACATGTGTGTGTGATTGTAGTGGATTCTTTCCTGGTGTGGTGCAGTCCATGACCGGCAAAAGTGCCGACCAACATCGGCCACGACATCGACTTTATGAAGTACACATTGGATAATGACGCCAGCAAAGAGGCACAGAGAGAAAAAATTGTATATTGTCCAAAGTAATGGTGTATTATGTTGACGAGCGCCATAAATAGTCAAATACTACTGCCAAATAATTTGTAATTTATTTTGATTTATTTTGTTTGGTTGATCTTTAAGAGATGCAATTTTGCACAATAATACAGTAATTGTAATAATGAAACCTGAATATGGCTAATTCATTTTGTCTAGTTATGCTGAAACTTATTGAAGAAGAAACAAAAAAGGAAGCTAAATTCGGCATGCCCAAGTCTTTATACCCTCTCAGTTTTCAATTGGATCATTAACAATCGATCTAAGACTAACAGGAGATATACATATAATAGACTAAATATTATTAAATTAAATGGCATATAATTATTTTGTTTTGATAAAATTTCAAAAACTTTAAATTTAACAATATTTCTGATTTGAAATATTTATTATAATTTAAATTATAAATATATATACTAAATAAAATGAAAGTAATATCAACATTAAACTATATTTACCAATACAAATATTTACAGTTTTACAGTCACATTTTTTTTTAACCAAAATGGCCATGGCTCAGAATAGATCAAAATATGTTGAAAGACAGCAAAGTTATAATTATTTTTCTTTAAAATTTTCCAACTGTTCCTATGGCAGCTATACAATATAAAGTAGTAAGATAAGTCAGAAGACTATCTGCAAAGATTCACTCAAATAGCTTCGAAACTGACTTCGAAACTAGTTTGCGTAGAAACGGACAGACGGACATGGCTGGATCGATTCGGCTGTGCTGATCAAGATTATATATATATATTTTATAGTGTCGGAACCGTCTCCTATGGGCTGCAAGCTTCTGACAAGAATGTAACAAATTCGAAGACGACTGCACAGGTCTCATTGATCTATATACATTTTCCTTAGACCAAAATTTATTTTAAGTTTTATTAATTTAAAACATGAATCTTGTTACCAACATGTGCATAGTCCCGGTTGGCATTAAGCTGTAATACTCTTGTACCCCAAGACAACAAATGTTAATCCCAGGGTATGCCAAAATACCCATTTGGATGTTGCACATGTGGTTTTGAAACTTATTCTAGGGTATTCCATGCCACAAAAACCATATATTTTCGGCAGTGTAGACTCTCAGGCAAATCGTCTCGCTAACGGCGAACTTGGGTTCTAGGTGATCCGCACACAGTCGCACTCGACCGGACTCGGCTCGGGGGCAGTGGGGTGGAGATGGAGGCAGAGGTGGAAGACTAAACTTAGTTGTGACAAAATAAAAACAGAACAGAAATAACATGAAATACTCGCGCGAGTTGGAAACGGCTGCGCCTTGGCCCGCTCAGGAAGAGGCGGCGAAAACAAAAGTGAAAAGCCATTTCGACATTCTCGCAGACGCAACTGAACGAATCGGACGGGCGAAGAAAGACACTCGCGCAGAACAGATACAGATACTTTTCATAATTCAGATTTTTTCTCTGCGCGATATTTTATTTATTTACCCTGCTCTGTGTCCGGTTATGTAAGGGGTGTGTGTGAGAGCTCGGTGGGTGTACTGCGACCAAGCTTAGTTGGCGGGTGACCGTGATGCAAGTGGGGACTTGAGAAAGTCAAGGTCGCCACCGCTCCACGCCCGTTTCCGCGGCTAGCAGCGTTACTGCAGCGGGGCCATGTAGGCGCGTCGGCCAAAACAGAAGCAGAAGTGAAAATCCAATTGTCGAATTGAGCAGTGAAGCAAATCGGAAATCTAAATGGAAATGGACGGCTGGGGGGCAACCTGCCCCAAGGAGGCCAACGCCACGGCGGTCGTTGGGTGGCAAGAAACCCTTCTGGATCTTTGGCTAGACCTCTATCCCAGCTACCTGCACTACGTCGAGCTTTTCGCAAACGAGGGTGGCAGGGCTCACTTGGTGGGCCGGCATTTCGTGGCCACTCTCGCGCAGGACCAGGTCTTCATGGGTGTGCTTCAGGGCAGTCTGCTGCTGCTCTTCCTCTTCTTGATGCACCAGCTTCGGCTGTGGAGCTGGGGCAGTGCGCCGGAAACCCCGCCCAATGCAACGCCCGATGTGGCCAAGGAGCTAAGCTGTGACTTTAACTTTGTATCCGAGCAAGAGAAGCGCGCAGCTCAAGATGCAGCCACTGAAGCGCTGCTGGAAGTGGAGGAGAAGAAGAGGCGCAAGCGGTTTACCAAGAAGCGTAACTGCGTCTCTGCCGGGCCCATCCTCATTGCTCTTCGCCAGCAGTCCAAGAGACCCAAGCACCATGGCCAAGCTGCTTTGCTTTTTGAGCCTGTAACACCCGGAGAAGTCATCTTGGACACTTACTTGCCGCCCCGGGAGAAGCCTCTAACGATTAAGCTACCCCCGGTGTTATCCGAACCCGTAAAGGAGGAGGAGACTGAACTACTTGAGTTTATGTGGGTTTGATATGGGCTGGACAGGCCGAAAGGCCCTACTTCTAATCTTATTTATAATCCTCTGTTTCCTTGTGGATTCCTAAGAGAATTAACTTACGATTTTCATTTCTCGTTCCAGATCGGAGCCCCGTGGGACGCTGAGTACGACCGACGAGGTCTACCCGGATTCATCCGACAGCAGCCTCTACGTATCGGACGAGGAGCAGGAAGACGCCTCTCAGTATTGCCGTGGTGGTTACCATCCTGTGGTCATAGGAGACATATTCGACAATCGGTTTCGCGTGGTGCGCAAACTAGGATGGGGTCACTTCTCCACCGTCTGGCTGTGCCGCGACCTCAAGTGAGTTTTGGCAACAGCAATTTGCTTTTAGAAATACCGCTTAATTTCCTCATTTCGTTTCATTGCAGAGACGAGAAGTACGTCGCTCTTAAGGTGGTGAAGAGTGCCCCGCACTATATAGAGACGGCAGCGGACGAGATCCGACTGTTGGAGGCGATCCGCGACGCTGACCCGCTGGACGTTAAGCGGGAGCGAATCGTGCGGCTGATGAACCACTTCACTGTACGCGGCGTGAACGGGATGCACACGTGCCTGGTCTTCGAAGCCCTGGGCTGCAGCCTGTACAAGCTCATCGTGAAGAATAACTACCAGGGTCTGGCCATCGCCCAGGTGCGCAACATTATCCGGCAGGTGCTCGAAGGACTGGACTACCTGCACGGCAAGTGCAGCATTATCCACACGGACATCAAGCCGGAAAACATCCTACTTGTAATCGACAACGCCGCGGCGATGAATCAGCAAATCGACGACGAGATCAATAGTCTGCGGGTGAAGGGAGCTGACTTCCCCGACTCGTATAGTAGGTGCTCCCGTATCGATCCCTTTCTGCCGACTAACTGTCTTCCTTTCTCCCCCAGTCAGCTCCATCGAGAAGCAAACAAAGTCGCGTGCCAAGTGGCCGCTGATCGAACCGAATGGATCGACCAACACCAACACGAGTAACAGCACAGCGAACAACTCAACTTCGTCGACGCCACTGGCCGCCTTAATCATTACATCGCTGGACAAGGAGGACACCACCACCCCCTCGTCCACGCTCAACTCGAACACCACCTCCTCGCTCGCCTCTAAATACTCGAGCTTGCTGGGCGACAGCGAGTGCAACGGTGGCCTTGGCGGCGGGGGCGGGCTCGTTAGCGGCGTCGACAGTCCCGTCCTCGGTGGACCCGCTAACCTGAACAATCGCTACCGAGCCGAGAAGAAAATCACTGCCAAGGTGAGTCTGCTCACAGCTCCTCCCAATTCATACACACGATGATGCTGGATAAGATAAACTCCCTTGGTGTGCGTCCGTGGAATAGCATTTTCACCCTCGATATTGTTAACATCTCAGCCAACGCTCACTGCACACCACTGAAACACGTAATTGGTATTCTTTTAATTTCCCTCGTTTCCACATTATCTTTTCGGTTTGGTTTGAAATTCGAAGCAGTCTTCCATCGAACTAGAGGACGACGCCGGGTCCGATACGCAGTGGGAGCAGAGCACTCTGGCCAGCGACACGCCCACCGATCCCGAGCCCGTGGCCAGTCCCAGCGCGCTCCCGGAGAAGGTAACGTGGATGCGGGATAGTCTGGTAGTCGCTAGTGCTAGACCGATCCCTAGACTCGTTCGATGATGTACCTGTTCGTTCCCGGATTATGCTTTCTTTTATGTTTGGAGTAGAGCCGGACCCCGGGACAACTGACACCTTCGACTCCTCAGCGATGTCCGGGTGCGTCCGTGCCCACTCCGCTGCTTAGTTACTGTTACCTATTATAGCTCCTGAGTTATCGTTGATTGACCCACACACACACACACTGAACACGCTAACTCACGGCCAGTTAATCTGTAACCTGTAACCAAAGGCTAAATGCTCGAATGTTTTCTAGATGTTTGTGTTGTTACGGGGATTTCCCCACGTGCTTACCATTGATATTAACACCTATGTATCAACCAGCTTACCCACCCAGCCAAAAATTCTGACATATATACTACAAGATATCCTGCCTATGGATAGACAATTTCTAAACTTTAATATGGTCAAGGCAAAGAAAAAATTACACTTAAATTGTCCCACCGAATTTATCCTGCATGTCTAGTATTCTTAGAATAGATTAGGAATTCGTGATTCTTTTGAGGCGCCAGAGACCAGTTGGTTTACATTTTTAAAGCTTAATCGAAAGAGTTATTTCGTGTCCACCTGTAGTTAAATGCCCACATGCATTTCAAAATACATGTTTCTTAATGTACCCTTGTAGGTATTTTAATTTTATAAAATATGGTAACGCTGTGGACATATGCAAACCTATGAAGTACCTATGTATTCGTATAGCATAAACAGCCTAGTCAATCTAGCCATGTCGGTCTGTCCGCTTATTTGCAAACTAGTCTCAGAATTAGAGCTATTTACATTGCAATGCATTGCTGGTACTGTAGAAATGTCGTAACAATCAGGACCACTTATCTTATAGGTGTCATGGAAGCGATATAAAAATTTCATTTTTAATAATTTCAAAAGTGTGACTACTATATTTAGCTTCCTTTCTTGTGGTTTTTCTTTTAAAATATATACACAAAAAGGCAAAATCTTAAGGAAAACTAAATAGAAAGTACAAAATTAAGTGTGTTTTAAGCTTTTTACTTTTCAATTGCATTTACGCTAAGCTATTGCTGCTCTAACCGCTGTTATATTATTAGCTTATTTATATTGTGTATATCTTATCGAATCCCAGAGGAATATCGATGGGAAGCTTTTCGGTGTTAATCAAAGCACGGATTTCGGTGGACAGGTCCAGCTTTGACCCCGCACTGCTAGTTATTTGTTATATGGATGTACGCACAACCTGATAAACCAACAAAAAACCAACATTGTGTGTTCTTTTTCTTCCTTTCTCTCTTTCTTTGTGTGAAACAATTATATGCAACATTACGATATATCCACACCAACCAGCTGCCCACCCCCAACAACTCCTGCCCCTCGATCAAAACGAACACCAACAACACCTTGCCCAACTCAAATACTCCGAGCACGTGCACGACCTTGCCCAACGACCACACCAGCAACTTCACCAACACGAGCACCAACAGCGAGGCAACGTCCACTTCCGCCCTTCCAACTGCAACTCCTGCCTCCACATCCACACCCGCCTCCGCCTTTGCATCTGCCACGCCCCCTAGCACCCGCACGTACTCGTTCACGCATCTAGCGTCAACAACAACAGCTCCAGCTACCACTACAACGACAGCCGCAAGCACTGAGTTGTATAATGGCGATCATACAACAACTAGCACATCAACAACAGCCGCAAATGCGATCTCCACCGCGCCAACAACAATTACAACAACAACCACATCAGCAACCGCAACTGCTAAACTAAATGTCCATGCCAATACCATTCCTTCGCAGAACCAGAGTCAGAGTAGCCAGACTAATACCTATACGATACAATCGCTCATCAACAACAGCAACGTCCGGGTGAAGATCGCCGACCTGGGCAACGCCTGCTACGACGTAAGTACTCAAGGAACTCTCCACGAGGAAACTCGAAAAACCGTTTACCAACCAATTCACATAAACTTAAGTACACACATTTTATCTAATAAATAAAGAGATGCATAGTTCGTATTGGGAAAGTTATCTCTCCAAGCGGGACCTAGAGAAAAATATATTTGAGGTATATAATTAAGAACTCTGCAGTTTGCCAAACTAAATTAAAATTAACAAAAATGTATATCGCAAGATACAAATTTAAGCTGTACAGAGCGGAGCAGGTATCAGGACTTGTAAATCAAATATTTGACAAAAATTATATTATTATAATACAAAAAAAATCCCATATCCCTCATCAAAATTACAGTTTTTCATGAATGACATACGATCATGGACACATTAGTTTAGGATGTTAAGAGCAGCTCTACGCTGTTCATAATTTAAATAAACTTCACCTGAATAACTTAAATTGATATTAAAAACCAAAAAAGGACATAGGGCTTAGACTTATTTATGTGTTGCGCAACATTCTTTTAGCAACATTTGTCGTTATTTTTCAACATAATCTTCTGTCTTTCGCCCTGTCTAGTTGATGTTTTTCATACATTTTAGCATTAATAGACAGAGTGAATCAAGCCAAAACCATGTTCCTTTTAATATCAAGCACAATCTTTTGGGTACCCAGTTTCTCACAGTCGAGAACACTCAACTAAAGCTCTCTTATTGGTTTTATAATATTTAAAAGCCAACTATTGGAAAAAAAGTACAAATGCATACAGATACCACTCTTAAAGGCTCAATTTATGCGTATTCATAGTTTACGTCTTCTCATTTCTAAATTCCTAGTACCATCACTTCACCGAGGACATTCAGACCCGCCAGTACCGTTCGATCGAGGTGCTGCTGGGAGCGCCGTACAACTATACCGCCGACATCTGGAGCACCGCCTGTTTGGCCTTCGAGCTGGCCACGGGTGATTATCTATTTGACCCGCACGCTGGTGAATCTTACAGTCGCGACGAAGATCACTTGGCGCATATCGTCGAGCTGCTGGGCTCCATACCGCAGTCAGTGATCCTGCGGGGCAAGCATGGACTCAAGTACTTCACCAGCTATGGTAAGCCCGAAGGCAATACAATGAATAGCTAGAGATATAATCGCTTGCGGATTTCCCATTGCAGGCAGCCTGAGAAATATCACCAAGCTCAAACCTTGGAGTCTGATGAACGTGCTGGTGGAGAAGTACGACTGGGATCCGGTGGAGGCCAAGAAGTTCTCCGACTTTCTTCTGCCAATGCTTGAATATAATCCAGTCATACGCGCCTCGGCGGCAGAGTGTCTGCAGCACCCGTGGCTGGAGCAGGAGGAGTTCGTCTAATAGGGGACGTAGCGCTGCTAGGTAGACAGCACTCTTAAATAAAGTAGGCTTAACTTTTATATGCGAACCAGTTTGTAATAAACAGGCACTTCAGAGGAAGATCGGGAAAAGGAATCTTAGCACTAAAGGACTCGATAGATACCATACCCTATAAACATACAATATGTATCGGGACGTTTACGCGTGGAATTTTTTAAGCTTTTTAATTTAAAAACACGATTTTGTACTTGAGAGCTTTAAAATGTAATTGCTGAAGAGGCAATTTTATTTTTACCGGTAAATCAAAGGCGGGAAGTTACGAAAAATAAAATGTTTTTCAAGTTTTATTTGGACTACGTGCACATAAGTTAATACAAACATATATATATTTTATGATATGAGAATCAAGTGAAACAAAAACAAAAGACAATGACGACAATTTTGAAGTCAACAGATGCCTAAACTGACTGACTGAAAGAATAACATTTTCGTGCGAAACCAATTAATTCAAATCCAAACGAATGAAACGGGCTAAATAAATATAACTAGCAACATATTCAGCTGCACATAATTAAAGATATCTTCTATAGATCCAATAAAATGATATGTGTATAATTAAACAAACCTAATTGTAGATATTGATAATTTTCAACACGGATACAAATCAGAAGTAAACACAGATGGAAATTCAAATACCGACAGCTTTCTAGCAGCGTGTAGTGATTATGGTACATTTAACCAAAACAATTATTGTAGACCCCTAAGGCTATGTTAAACGCGAGCAGATTATACAAATACATATTGTTACCTTTCTGTCCGATTTAAGTTTGCCTTATCCATAGTTTCATTTATAGATATTCAACAAATCCATACAATTTTGTGTTGGGTTGCTCATGAGTGAATGAACACTGAGTCGGTGAACACGACCATTTCTAATTATTACTTTTTCTCAATTTTTCTCATTTTTGCTTGATCTTTTTAGCTTATTTGAACACCTTCGTTGTACTACTTATGTTTTCTCAGTTGTTCAATTTTTTCCCACTGCTCTATGAGTGCTGTTAATCGAAAACTATAGTTGAGTTTCAGGAACTTCAGTGAAATTGGAAAGTATTTTAAATCTATCCAGTTTAAACGTAATATATTATTATTTAAGTCTTTGTTTTTTTAAGCACGAGTAAGCAAGTGAGAAAGTAAGCGACCGAGCATTGAATTGTGCAACTTTGCAAAGAACAGTGAACATCTGAGTAGTGAACAAGTGAGCAATACGAGTGAGTTGTCTTTAAAAAAATATATACCAATCTAACATGTTCATCAATTAGCATTATTTACACAAATTTACGGACAATTTATACTTTTTAGTTTCATTTTTTTACAACACATTGTAGGCTTGAAGAAAAGTCTTTAAAGCGGAATTGAAAACCCATTATCGTGTCTATGTAACACAATTAAATTTAGTGAGACGTCGCATAGCCCAGAAGGAAAGCATATTTTACTATTTGCCTACAAGTATTTGTACACAAGCCTATAAGTAATATTGAACGTGACCAAATAATTTAATATTGCGGAAGATTTTTCCCCCACACATACAATATTTAATAAACACATGTGCGCATGTGTCCAAATGAAAGGCGACACATTTGAGCAGAGAAACTGCAGGCTCGACGAAGTGGATACATAACTCGATAAGCGAAAATAAAGAATATACATATATACGTCAAGAGATAATACATTATGGGTGGCATTCTTTCTAAAAGGTTTACATAAGCACTTTATTCGAAGTTTTACGAGTATAAAAATGCAGAGTCTAGAATACAATACGGTACGTTTAACAGCTTTAATATATGGTTTTAGATTAGCATAGTGGTCGACACTCGACCGGCGAATAAACTATATTAGAAATACTCGGAGGAGTACAGCGAGGGCCACCTTAGAGGGCCAATCCCAAGATCTGTTCCTGCTTGTAGACGCCGTGGTAGGCATTGCGAATTAGTACGTAGGGGAAGCAGGACTCCAGCAGATCCATTGTGAGGAACGGTGACTGCTTGACAATTTCATCGAGGAGCAGGTAGATGGACTCCCGATTGCGAGTGGCCTCCTTGTCCGACTCTTGGCCCAGGCGGAGCAGCGAGGAACTGGCCAAGGCCAGAAACTCCTTCATCCGGTCCTCCATGTCGTTCTGCCCGCAGATGGTGAACAGTGCGCCAAAGATGTTGTTGATGGCCGCCGCCATGCAGTGGGTGTTGTTCGAGTGACCATCGATGGTGGCTCTGTAGAAGGAGTTCTCGTTGCGGGCCAGCTTGGGAATTGAGACGGCTACGAACACCATCAGCAGGCAAGCTGTGAGATGTTCGCCCTCATCAAACTCGGGTTTCTTCGACTTCAGGGTGGTGGCCAGAGTGGGATCCACTTTGCAAAGCAGGCCGGCTGCCGAGGCCATATCGGAGGCCACGCGAATCTGGTCACCGCCGGGCAAGTGCTCCTGGAAGTCCTTTACCGAGCTGAGGAGGAAGGGGATGCGCTTGTCCAGCACATCCACGAGAGCCTCGTGTACGAGGTTGCGGAAGCAGATGATTACGCCAATGATCGTCATGCGCTGCAGCACACGGTCCACGTCCTGCAGTCGCTTGAACTGCTCCTTCATCACCTCCGGCTTGTCGAAACTAGTGCGCAGGGTAATCAGTACTTCCTTATTGGTACCCACCAGCGACTTGAGCTCCTGCACCTGGTTAGCTATATGCCACATCAGGGTCTCGTTCAGAGTTTTGATACCATAGGGTCCAACGAGTTCGGCCAGCGCTCTCAACTCGTTGAGATCTGAGAACTCCTGCGGGTTGAACGGCACCCATCCTTCAGGAGAGATCGGGACAAACGCCTTCTGGTTGATGGAGAACACAATGTTGCCGGCGGAGACCCGCCTGAGCAGGACCTCACTATACCAGGTGTTGTACAGCGCGGCTATTGTCTTCTCACCGTGCGAGTCCAAGGCCTGCGTCTGCTGCAGCAAGCAGTTGTTGAAGACCCGCGTTATGTCAATGTGCACATAGTTCTCCACAGTTTGCAAGACGTTCATGTAGGCTCGCACGCTGGCCAGCAGCTCCGAGGGCTTGGCAATTTCCATGGTCTCCTGATTAAACATCACCATGCCAACTAGGTCCCGGGAGAACCGGTGCTCCAGGTTCTGGCAGAGATACTCGCGAGGGGCGAAGGCAAACTCCCAGACGTTAACGGTGGGGCAGTAGTTGATGGCGAAACAGAGCTCGGTCAAGGCCATGTGCAGCTTGTCCATCGTGGTCAGATCCTCGCGCGTCTTCCTGTACGATTCGTCCCCCGGCTTTCGAATGTCGTCGAAATGCTTGGACTTGGACTTATCCTTCTTTTTGCGAGCCGACTGAACAGACAAGATCTTGGCGCAGTGCTTGGGCAACAGAGCATCGGCCATGGTGCACTGTTCGTCGCATATTGTGGTAATAATATTCTTAGCCTCCTTGGCCATTTCCTCCAGGAAGATGTTCACCACGCTCAGAGACCGCTCGCGAATATGGTGGCGCTCCTCCGGGCACATTTCATGGGTGCAGTTTTGAAAGTGGCTGCAGATCAACGGAAAGGCTATGATATACCGGTTTTGGGCGGGGAACTCCAAGCACATGTGGAACTGGTCGTCGAACATTTTGTTGTAGAAGCAGAAGATGCTCAAATCGGAAGTTTCCACCAGTATTTCGTCCAAGTTGTCCACCACACGAGTGTGAAACACCATCGAATCCAGCAGCCGAGCCAGCTCCGCGTGCTCGGTAATCCTGAGGGATGCCTTGCCAACGCTCATGTAGGTCTGCAGTCGGAACCAGTCAAGGCGGAATGGTCGGAAGTAGAAGAGCTCGTTGTCCTCCACCTGCTTCACAGTCAGGGCTGCAGCTGTGTTGTACAACGAGCTGAATATGATGCTCTCATCCTCCGGGCACATCTGCAGGCTCTGCATGCGTATATTCAAGTCCGTTGCATCGAAGCCGGATAAGTATTGCACGTAGTACCGCTGCATCACCTGGCTGTACTTCCGCACCAGCGCTCGGAGCTCTTCCATGTGAAAGAGTAGTTCCGGCAGTTGGCGGTCCACCAGATCCTCATTGCTCTTGCCTGTGAACCGAAAGTTAGTAAATAATACAAATATATTCGATATTTGATCGGTTTACGCACCCTTGTTTTTGAGCAGCGGCGGATTGTCGTTGTGCCGGAGAAGCCAAAGGATCTCGTCGCGGGCCAAGCAAAGGCCAATGAATATGAATATCGCCTTGGGCCCCAGCAGGCCCGGCTGGTCTGTCATTATCAGAGCCAGCTCCTTCAAGGCCGTTCTCAGGAACTTCCGCCTTTCGCGATGCATTAGAGCTGCCTTCTGGACAGCCGTGTTGTAAGCGTCCTTGACCTCGCCGATCCGCTTGCTGTAGCCTTTGATGCCATCGAAGGTGGCCTGGATGTACTGGTGGATCTGAAGAACCTCGTCGCGGAAGAGCGCCACCACCCAGCTGGATTCCAGGGCGGAAAGCCAGATCTTGTTCACCTCCGGGTACTGGCCCAGCATCTGGTGATTTAGTAGCAGGCCAAAGATTATCCAGCGATCCATGGCCTCCAGGGAGATGTACTCGCACGACATGGTGTCCGTTCGAACGGCCTTTAACAGAATGGCGGGGTTGCCAACCAGACTAAGCTTCTGCATTTCCCTCCATTTGTCGGCTGGCAGATTCCGCAGAGCGTAGATGGAAGTCAGCGACCGCAGTGCATTTGTTAGCAACCTTTGGTGGGGAATGAACTCCTCGGCAAGCTTTTTGAGGGGCACCTCGTAGTCAAGAATCATCTGGCCCAGGCGGGGGAAGCCCGTGTCCGCCTGGTTATTCTGCAGCTCGTATGCAGCGTTGTAAAGGCCGAGCACAGCCTTGCGATCCTCGACCCGGGACAAGACAATCATCAGGGAGACATAGGTCACCACCAAGTCCAAGTAGTTCTTGGTAAGCTCAAAATTCAGCGTGATGTCCAAGTGAATCTGACAGGCGTCCATTGTGGTGAGCAGCTCGCAGACGTTGTCCTTAAAGTCCAGGAGATCCACGAACGTATGATAATACAGGGACAGCGACTTTATTATCTCCGCCTTGATGTTCACAATAGCATTCAGTCCCTTGACGTCGATATTGGGGAATCGCTTCACAATGAATTTAATGCTGGACTCCAGCGACTTTTCGGAGAGGAATCCCGGCTTCGATTTAGTGTCGCCGCAGGCCTTCTTTATGTTGTATATCCGCGTGAGTATTCCCAGGCCGCGGTCGTTCAAGATGATTAGTTTCTCAGCTATCTTTTGCTGATTCGGAAAAATTGGGCGTGCCATGTCTGCTGCTTGTTTGGACGATGAGTGACTGAATACAAGTTTCCGGTGATCCCCAGAACACAATCGTGCGCTGGCTCACTGGTCGAAATGGCTTGAGAGTCGATAAGCGCTAATCTGTCCGATATTATCCACTTTTAAGATAGTTAAATTGACTAAAAATATGCGACACAAAAGTGTACACATTAGTCTTCTTCTTAATTCTGCAGTAGTGATGGAACAAATACCGATAAGGGTCTAGCAGCTATCGATAAGAAAAGTAGCTAGAATATATACGGCTGTTTCCACTACAGTTGTGCTAATCTTCATTTTGGGTTTACTTTTTGTATACTCTTTAAATCAAGCATGTCCTAGTTTTTAAGCAAATCCAAATTAAATTCGTATTATTTAAAATATGTAGCTTATCCAGTAATTGATTGCTAATTTATTCGACATTTCTGTCATATTTATTTCTA